AAGAAGAATTTTAATTAAAGAAATGGTAAAAGAATCACCTCTGTAAAATCAGGATGTAATACCTTACAGGGTAATCAGATTCAAAACATAGAGAATCCCTCTAGGCAAAATCTTAAGTCACAAAAAGACACAAAAAAAGGAATATACATTCCCTCCAGCACAGCTTATTTTACCAGGCATTAAACCAAAGAAAATCTAATGCATTTTCTAGCTAGATTACTTACGAACTTAACAGGAGTTAGAAGCCTGCATTTCTGATCTGTTCCCAGCAAAAGCATCACACAGACAGACAGAACCCTTTGTTCCCGCCCTCTTCCAGCTTTGAAAGTAACTTGTCTCCTCATTGGTCATTTTGGTCAGGTGCCAGCAAGGTTACCTTAGCTTCTTAACCCTTTACAGGTGAAAGGGTTTTGCCTCTGGCCAGGAGGGATTTTATAGCACTGTACACAGAAAAGTGGTTACCCTTCCCTTTATTTTTATGACAGGGTCCATGGAGTGAGGGGACAGAAGCAGGTACCCAGGGTCCATGGAAGTATCCCAAGGGAAGTAGGTTGGGGGCATTTCACAAGGTCTGTGAAGGAAGAGAGCTGCGGTGTGCGGTGTCACAAAGACCTTGGAGGAAGCAAGTTGAGGGGGTTACAGAGTCCGTGGAGGAAGGAAACAAATAGCACTTAAATAAGGAACTATGTTCTGATTGACAGTAAATTACCAAATAGTTCTCAGGTCAACTCAAGTCACATGTGACCATTATCCTGTCATGGAGAGATAAGGATCTGTTACTCCCAGAGCTGGAGTTTAATAGTGAGCAAAACTCCACCAAATATCATACCCCCATTTCTATTTTGCATTTTCATTCTAAGTAATCATACACTAAACAAATAACTCAAACCCAGTATTCCAACAATTTGTCCCAAACTGTTGCACAGAAATTATACAGACAGTTACAAATTAACACATCAATAGGAACCCCGTTTTCTTCTTAGACAAATTCAGAACGGGGGGGGCGGGGGGGAATGGCTACATTTATCACCCTGTGTTTGATTCTGTAACAACTTTTAAAATACGCATCCTGCTGAGTGTTGTGTCTGTGACCCTGGCCTCACAAAGAGTGGCCGGCCCCGCGCACTGCACCTGCATCCCGCCAACAGCCTTGCACACCCACCCCATTGTCAGCCACTGGACCCCCCGCCCACTCACCACTGGTGGGCAGGAGACTGGTGAGCAGGGATCCAGTCAGAAGCAGGACCTGCCAATACTGACTGGGGGGAGACGGAAAATATGGGACAATTTGTCCGTTTTTAAGAAAAAGTCGGGACTGCTGCAGGAGGGCTTAAATACGGGACAGTCCCTTTAAAACCAGGATGTCTGGTCACCCTACCTTGAATTATTTTTGTGATTCTTGTCTGCACCCTCTCAAATTTTTCTGCATCCTTTTAGAAATGTGGACCCCAGAACTGTGGGCACCATTCCAGTATTGGGCTCACAAATGCAGTGTACAGAGGTAAAATCACTCTGCTCCTACTCATGTCTCCAAGGATCACATTAGTGCTTTTTGTCACAGCATCACACTGGGAGATGAATGTCTCCGTTTTCAGGGGTTAGATAGCTGGACAAGAAGTTGAATTTTTCTCCAGAAAACAGACACTTCTTGCGAAAAAAATCTGGTTAGTGGCAAACCCAATTTTATGATGAAAAGGAGTTTTAACGGGGAACTTTTGCCCAGCTCTATTTGTCCACTGTAACACATGTGAGGTTCTCCTCCCGTCCCAAGCCCACTCTTGCCCCACGCTGCAAACACTCAGCAGCAGACTCCACAGTCGGGGTGCGCTCAGAACACGCAGATGGGGCAAAGGACATGTCATTTTGAGGTGGCCCAAGAAGTACTTTGTCACTTATGGGAGTTGAGCCCCCAGGTCCTTGTTAAAGGATAATTTGCGAACTATAACTGTGTGCGTATGTCGGCCTGGGCAGTGGGTCAACGCGCCCTTGGGGGAGGCTAGCTCCCGGCCCCTCCCCCTCTGCCCGAGGCCCAGTCTCCTCTGCCCATCCTCCCCGACTGGAGCCCGGAGCGCCCGGCCGCCCCCACCCCATGTGTCCCCAGCCCCAGTGCCGGGAGGATGGGCTGCATGGTATGGCCTCAGCCCTGGGGTCTTGTGCACACTGAGGCCCCAGCCTGCCTGCTCCAGCCTCTCAGCCGCAGAAGAGAAGAGCAGGCAGGAGGGGAGCTGGGGGTGCAGCGTGGGCAGGGCCAGGCCAGGCTGTTTGGGGACGCACAGCCTTCCCCGGCCCACGATACCCACCGCCCATGCAGGTAGGTATGTTTTCGGAGGTGAGGCGCTTGTGACACAGGCCAAAGAAAATGCTTTGGGACAATGAGTGGCATGTCCAGCTCCTTCTGATGGTCACAGGGCCATGGCACCTGGGGTGACCCAGAGTTATTTGGTCACTCAGCCAATCAAGGGCCAATTCCTTATTTGGACAGTAAGTAATTAATAACGCATTAATTACTAACGTAGCCAGTTATACAATCCAATCACACGTTTGGTGACATTTATGTAATCTTACACTGATGAACTTTTACAACATTTTGGCCTCTGAATAAGGCACTAGGAATGAGGAACCAGTTCCAGCCTCAGACGGAAGCAGCCCCACAAGCTGCTCGGGACCAGGAGGCACTGATCTCCGGTCCCCGTGCCATTGGGACGAACTCGGGGCCTGGCTCGAGCCAACGCAGGGAGAATGATCCAGAGAACATCATCCCCGGGGTGCCCTGACAGTCTGTTACCAGCTGTGATGCTGAGAGCCTTTCTGCTGGATCACTCCCACGCAGGGTGCAGAAAAAGCAGAACTCTTGGCTCTGCGTGGGGGTGGCTAGTCTCAGTAGCACTGAATGAGAACTGGAAATGATTCAGTGTGAGAAAAATTAGTCAGCAGCTTCCCATAAGCATTAAAATAGCCATTAGGCCGTGTGCTTCACTGCACATATGAGGGAACGCCTGGCCGGCAGCCTGCAGCTCTGGGGGAGGGCAGGGTGTGACAATTCTTGAGGTACCCAGGACTGTGAGTCACCTTTTTACCCCCGGCCTCTAGCAACAGGGAGCCTTGTCATGGTGGCTGGGTGCTAGCCCCTTCACACCACCAGCCTGCTGGCCGCTCCAGCACTCTCCTCCAGGCTGCGACAGCCCTGCCTTCACCTTGCGGGGTAACAAGAGGTGCCCCCCAGGAGCCTCCACAATTCAGCTACTTTCGCCACTTCCTCTCCCCCACTTCCAGCAGGCACAATGGCTCCCCCCCACCCCCACCTCGAGCCGGCACACCTGGCCTCCCCACTCTCACCTCCAGCAGGTGCGACTGGCCCCCCACCCCCCTCCAGCCTGCTCATCTGGCCCCCCACCCCCACCTCCAGCCAGCTCGACTGGCTCCCCATCCCCGCCTCCAGCCGGCTCGACTGGCCCCCCACCCCCACCTCCAGCCAGCTCGACTGGCCCCCCCGCCTCAGGCAGGTGCGACTGGCCCCCCACCCCCGCCTCCAGCCGGCTCGTCTGGCTCCCCACCCCCGCCTCCAGCAGGTGCGACTGGCCCCCCACCCCCGCCTCCAGCCAGCTCGTCTGGCTCCCCACCCCCGCCTCCAGCCGGCTCGACTGGCCCCCCACCCCCGCCTCCAGCCGGCTCGTCTGGCCCCCCACCCCCCTCCAGCCAGCTCGACTGGCCCCCCACCCCCACCTCGAGCCGGCACACCTGGCCTCCCCACTCTCACCTCCAGCTGGCTCGTCTGGCCCCCCACCCCCGCCTCCAGCCGGCACGACTCGCTCCCCACCCCCGCCTCCAGCCGGCTCAACTGGCCCCCCCGCCTCCAGCAGGTGCGACTGGCCCCCCACCCCCGCCTCCAGCCGGCTCGTCTGGCTCCCCACCCCCGCCTCCAGCCGGCTCAACTGGCCCCCCACCCCCGCCTCCAGCCGGCTCGACTGGCCCCCCCACCCCCGCCTCCAGCCGGTGTGACCGGTCCCCCACAGGTGGCTCCATCCTGGAAGCCTGGGGGTTCTCTGTCAGCTGTCTCCCCGCTCAGGTCGAGACTTTTGTTACAGTTGCTGGTGTCCAGGCCAGGTCGGGCTGGTACCCAGGTCCTGGGAGCCGGCATCATTTGCAGTGGGGCCCCTCAACCCCTGAGCCGCAGAAGGCCTGGGCCTAGTGCTCCCATGGCCTTGCTGTCTGCAGTGACCGCACCCTTGGGTGGGGCAGTCTCTGCAGGGTGCTCTCCCAGCTCGCCGTTTCTCCGGCTCAGGAAGTGCCGCCTCTCCCCCCAGCTGCCGTGTTGCAGCCACGGCCCCAGTGTTGCCCGTTAATGTGAACGTCCCTCTTTCCAGAGGGGAAAGGCTCACGGGATCACAGTCACTGCCCACAGGGAGACCTTCTTGCCCTTGCTCCGCACCCACCCCCTTCTCAGCCCTCCTCAGTCCTGCTGCTGGCTGGAGGGGTCCCCTGCCCCACCCAGGAGCATGCTCCCTGGCCTGGACTGCAGGCCTGTGCAGCCGCCCCCCTCCTGCCGGGCCTGGTGGCCGTCCTCCGCCGGTTATCGCTGGTTAGCCAACAGGCTCTGGCTGCCGAGGGTGGGAACTGATGCGGGCCCAGCACTGGCATACCTGGGAACCTCACAGTCTTTCTTGTGTTTGCCCCCGTGTGGTGCAACAGACTCTAACCCCACTGTACTGACGGGGAGCTGAGGCCCAGGGAGACTAAGGTCCAGAACCCCAGCGGTAATTAGGCACCCGATTCCCACTGAAATCAATGGGAGTTAGGCACCTGAGCACTTCGGAGGCGCTGGGTGTCGCAGGATGTCTGTGGCAGAGCAGGGCTGGGCTGTCCTTCCTCTCCGGCGGGGGCCTTCTCCAGGGTGTGGTACTTCCTGGGGGGCGAGGGCCTAGCTGGGTGACAGTGAGATTCCAGTGCAGTCTGACCGCAACCGCAGACACACCTGTGAACGCCTCCCTGTTCCCCTGCAGGGTCTGTGTACGAGATGGGCGGCAGAGAGTGCTGCTTATCAACCGGGGACCTGGTAAAGATTACTGGCCTTCGCCTGCAGAAGATCACCTGTGAGGATCCAGAGACTGGGCAAGCAACGGAGCTGCCTCTGAACTTCACAGGTAAACTGGGACACCCCATGCCCACCTAGCCTACTGCAGGTAGGCACCCAGCCACCCACCCAGACACACCCCATCCTCCCCCTCACACACACACACCACTGCCTCCCGGCCATCCGCACCCCAATCATACACACACACCAATCATACACACACACACCACTGCCTCCCGGCCATCCGCACCCCAATCATACACACCACTGCCTCCCGGCCATCCGCACCCCAATCATACACACACACATCACTGCCTCCCGGCCATCCGCACCCCAATCATACACACCACTGCCTCCCGGCCATCCGCACCCCAATCATACACACACACCCAATCATACACACACACACCACTGCCTCCCGGCCATCCGCACCCCAACAACACACACCCAATCATACACACACACATCACTGCTCCACCACCCAATCATACACACACACACCACTGCCTCCCGGCCATCCGCACCCCAATCATACACACACACCCAATCATACACACACACACCACTGCCTCCCGGCCATCCGCACCCCAATCATACACACACACCCAATCATACACACACACATCACTGCCTCCCGGCCATCCGCACCCCAATCATACACACAACCCAATCATACACACACACACCACTGCCTCCCGCCATCCGCACCCCAATCATACACACACACATACTGCCTGGCCATCCACCCAATCACACACCACTGCCTCCCGGCCATCCGCACCCCAATCATACACACACACCCAATCATACACACACACACCACTGCCTCCCGGCCATCCGCACCCCAATCATACACACACACCCAATCATACACACACACATCACTGCCTCCCGGCCATCCGCACCCCAATCATACACACACACCCAATCATACACACACACACCACTGCCTCCCGGCCATCCGCACCCCAATCATACACACACACCCAATCATACACACACACACCACTGCCTCCCGGCCATCCGCACCCCAATCATACACACACACCCAATCATACACACACACACCACTGCCTCCCGGCCATCCGCACCCCAATCATACACACACACCCAAACATACACACACACATCACTGCCTCCCGGCTATCCGCACCCCAATCATACACACACCCAATCATACACACACACACCACTGCCTCCCGGCCATCCGCACCCCAATCATACACACACACCCAATCATACACACACACACCACTGCCTCCCGGCCATCCGCACCCCAATCATACACACACACCCAATCATACACACACACATCACTGCCTCCCGGCCATCCGCACCCCAATCATACACACACACCCAATCATACACACACACACCACTGCCTCCCGGCCATCCGCACCCCAATCATACACACACACCCAATCATACACACACACATCACTGCCTCCCGGCCATCCGCACCCCAATCATACACACACACCCAATCATACACACACACACCACTGCCTCCCGGCCATCCGCACCCCAATCATACACACACACCCAAACATACACACACACATCACTGCCTCCCGGCTATCCGCACCCCAATCATACACACACACCCAATCATACACACACACATCACTGCCTCCCGGCCATCCGCACCCCAATCATACACACACACCCAATCATACACACACACACCACTGCCTCCCGGCTATCCGCACCCCAATCATACACACACACCCAATCATACACACACACACCACTGCCTCCCGGCCATCCGCACCCCAATCATACACACACACACCACTGCCTCCCGGCCATCCGCACCCCAATCATACACACACACCCAAACATACACACACACACCACTGCCTCCCGGCCATCCACACCCCAATCATACACACACACCCAATCATACACACACACATCACTGCCTCCCGGCCATCCGCACCCCAATCATACACACACACCCAATCATACACACACACACCACTGCCTCCCGGCCATCCGCACCCCAATCATACACACACACCCAATCATACACACACACATCACTGCCTCCCGGCCATCCGCACCCCAATCATACACACACACACCACTGCCTCCCGGCCATCCGCACCCCAATCATACACACACACCCAAACATACACACACACACCACTGCCTCCCGGCCATCCGCACCCCAATCATACACACACACCCAATCATACACACACACACCACTGCCTCCCGGCCATCCGCACCCCAATCATACACACACACCCAATCATACACACACACACCACTGCCTCCCGGCCATCCGCACCCCAATCATACACACACACCCAATCATACACACACACATCACTGCCTCCCGGCCATCCGCACCCCAATCATACACACACACACCACTGCCTCCCGGCCATCCGCACCCCAATCATACACACACACCCAAACATACACACACACACCACTGCCTCCCGGCCATCCGCACCCCAATCATACACACACACCCAAACATACACACACACATCACTGCCTCCCGGCCATCCGCACCCCAGTCATACACACACACACCACTGCCTCCCGGCCATCCGCACCCCAATCATACACACACACCCAAACATACACACACACACCACTGCCTCCCGGCCATCCGCACCCCAATCATACACACACACCCAAACATACACACACACACCACTGCCTCCCGGCCATCACCCAATCATACACACACACCCAATCATACACACACACACCACTGCCTCCCGGCCATCCGCACCCCAAACATACACACACACACCACTGCCTCCCGGACATCCGCACCCCAATCATACACACACACCCAATCATACACACACACCACTGCCTCCCGGCCATCCGCACCCCAATCATACACACACACCCAATCATACACACACACATCACTGCCTCCCGGCCATCCGCACCCCAATCATACACACACACACCACTGCCTCCCGGCCATCCGCACCCCAATCATACACACACACATCACTGCCTCCCGGCCATCCGCACCCCAATCATACACACACACATCACTGCCTCCCGGCCATCCGCACCCCAATCATACACACACACCCAAACATACACACACACATCACTGCCTCCCGGCCATCCGCACCCCAGCCATATGTAAGCGGGAGATTGGTCCCACTATTGTGGGGAACTTTCGTGGCTTTTGCACTATCCCAGTGAAGTGGGCTAGCAAAAGGATCCTCGCTCCCACTTCCTTTACCCAGAGGCCTCCCTGCCCTTGAGGACTCCCCTTCCACTCTCCTGCCTGGCAGAGTCCTCGCAACCCCAACAAGGATGGGCCCAGGATTCCTGGGGGGCTCGACCCCCAACTCTGCTGTGGTCACCTAGGACAGGGGCTAGGGTGTCCCCACCCTGGGGTACTCTCTCTGCACTGGGCACTTCCCTGTCTCACTGATCATTACATCAATTTAAAACAAACACAAGTTGTTTAATCAACAATTAATTTTAAAAAGAATAAGGAAAAATGGGAACGGTTAAAGGAAACACATCACCCCGCTCTGTGGCAGGGAACATCACAAACAGTGTCTCTGGAACGTCAGGGCAGTTAAGAGTCTGCTCCTTGTAAGTCCCAGGCCCCTTCTCCGGCCCTGGCCGTGCTGCAGGGATGCTGCGGGTTGGACGCTTGCAATGGTGTTGGCCACACACCTCCAGGCTTTGGGTGGTGGGACCCTCCTTCCCAGGGTCAGCCCCCCGTCGGGTTCAGATACCCCTCCCAGTCTGGCCTGCAAGGACCCTTGGCTGGGGGTGTCTCTCTGCGCTGGGCCCTTTGCCCAAGGCCCCCCTTGCCTGGCCCCAGTTGCTCACCACACCCTGCTCTGTGGCTGCAGCCCTGCTCCCAGCACAGGATCTGCTCCCTGGGCTGCTTCTCCGGCTCTCTGGCTGGCCCGGCTCTGCTCCCCTGCTCAGCTCGGGCCACTGCTCTCCCCTTAGCTCGGCCCCACTCTGTTCCAGGCAATTCCAGCTCACAGGAGACCGACCCCCCGGCCTCCTGACTCCCTTATTTGCCTGCCCACCCTGTTAATCAGGCTGACCTGGAGCACTGGCCTCTCCTCATTGTTCCTGGGGACTGTCAGTCTCAGGGTCCTGATTTCCCATCCACCCTTCCCCTTTCTTTTAGTGCTGGGAGCGATCAACCAAAACCCCCCAATGAGTGTTAGTGAGGTGCCAACAGTCCCCTTACACACACACACACACACACACACACCACTACCTACAGGCCATTCGCACCCCAGCACACACACACACCAGCCTCGTCACATACCCCCACCCCTGCCATTATCTACTGGCCATCCTCACCCCAGCCATAAGCACACACACAGTCTCACCATCCCCACCCCACCCGTATATATAGACCACACACGCATCCTGCCATGACGTATAGGCGTCACTCCCCCCCACACACCAGCCACATGTAACCGAACAGTGCCTGCCCACCACAAACAGGCCCTGCTAGGGTTGCCAGCTTTCTGATTGCAGAAAACCGAACACGCTTGTCTAGGATTGCCAGGTGTCCAGTCGAAAGGGACCCTGGCAGCTCCGGTCAGCACTGCTGACTGGCCCTTTGAAAGTCCAGTCGGTTGCTCAGCGGAGCCAAGGCAAGCTCCCTGCCTGCCCTGGCTCCGCGCAGCTCCCGGAAGCAGCAGAATTCCCCCCTTTGCCCACACCCCAACCCCTGCCCCAGCCCAGAACCCACACCAGGCCAAGGGGTTTGGAGTGTGGAAGGGGGTGCAGGCTCTGGAAGGGAGTTTGGGTTCCAGGGCTGGGGGAGGGAGTGTGGAGTGGATCCGGGAGGGAGCTGGGGTGTGGGATGGGGCTCAGCACTGGGGGAGGGGGTTCAGGGTACAGTGTGGGCTCCAGGCACTGTTTCCCTGAGGCGGCTCCTGGAAGCGGCAACATGTCCTCTGGCTCCTACGCGCCGGGGTAGCCAGGGAGGCTCTGCGCACTGTCCTCGCCCGCAGGCACAGACCCGCAGCTCTGACTGGCCACGGTCCCGGCCAATGGGAGCTGCGGAGCCGGTGCTCGGGGTGGGGGCAGTGCGCGGAGCCTCCTTGCAGCTAAGGGCCACAGGGACATGCCAGCTGCTTCCTGGAGCCACGCGGAGCCAGGTAGGGAGCCTGCCTTAGCTCTGCTGCGCCGCCGAGCGGACTTTCAATGGCCCAGTCAGCAGCCACCAGGTTCCCTTTTTGACCGGATGTTCCTGTCGAAAAACGGAGGGTTGGCAACCCTAGGTCCCCCACACATGCCCCAGCCACACACACACCCTGGCCACCACACGCAGGCCACACCCCCCACCTCACCCAGGGGCGCCCTCCCACGCCCCTGCACCGGCCCCCCACCCACATGCCCATCGCCTCCAGGCCACGCCCCACTCTGGCCGCACTTGCGGAGGCGGGTGTGGCTAATCCCCAGCCCCGCTGCCCTGGTGGGGTGGGTGGTGGGGTGGGGCAGGCCTTCACGCAGGCGCTGCTGGGATCTGAGCCTGGCTCAGGCTTGCGTACAGACGAGGCTCCATTGAGGCTCCTCATTCCCAGGGTCCCTGGCATAGGTACCACCTCCGTGGGTCTCTGAGGCTGGAGCACCACGGGGAAAATTTGGTGGGTGCAGAGCCCTCACCGGCAGCTCCCCCCCCCGCCCGCCCGCCCGCCCCAGCTCACCTCTGCCTCCGCTCCGCCTCCGCCCCTGAGCGCGCCCTGGGTCCTGCTTCTCCCGCCTCCCTCCCAGCTGTGTCGCGCGGCAAGCCTGGGAAGGAGGGGGGGGAGGAGGGGGAACGTGGCGAGCTTGGGGGCGGAGGCGGGGCTGGGGTGGGGATTTTGGGAGGGATCCAATGGGGTGGGGGTGCGGGGAGGGTGCAAACATCCTCTGGCGCCGACAAAAGTTGGCACCTGTGGTCCCTGGTTCAGGGTTGCCTGGCCAGGGTTTCCCAGCACCATCCCTTTGTTGAGGCAGCCGTCCTGGGGAGCCTGCCTGGGTTCCAGTGCTCACAGCCAACTGTCCAGTGTTATGGGCTCAGGATCATCCCAGACGCGGCAACCCTACGTCCCCACTAACTGTGAGCTCCCTCTGGCCCTCCTGCAGGGCATTTCCAGCCCAGCCGAGACAAGCTGTCATACATGAGCCTGAAGAAGCTCGCCAGGAGCAGGCCAGCAGGGCTCCAGGACATGCCCTTCGCCTTCGCCTCAGCAGTTGACTTGACCGTGGATGGGCAGTTCATTCCCAAGGGCCAGCCCATTTCCTTGCTTTCAGTGGCCAGGCATGAGGGCCAGGAGCTTGCCAACTGCACAACCACAGGGCAGAACGGGCAGCGTTCGTTCTGCCTCCCCTTCTCCTTCCAGGGCCAGTTCTGTGAGTGCAGCGGGCAGCCGAGCTACACGCTGAGCCAGGTACTGGAGTCGGGAGCCCTGAGGGGCCAGCGCCTGAAATGCTCTGCCCTCGGCAGGCACTCACTGCTCCTCTGCCCCGTGTACGAGGTGCAGGCGATAATGCACAGTGAGTACAGATGCAGCCGGGGGGCGGGGGGCGGGTATGTGAGAGAGAGAGAGCTGGATGGAGTGATGTGTGTATGGCTCCGTGCCTCTGGGTCAGTTTGTGGGAGAGGTGTGTCTTGGAGTCTCAATGTGTGCTAGGGTGACCAGCCATCCTTTATTTTAAGGGGCAGCCCCTTATTTCATTGATTTGTCCTTTAAGGCAATCACCCAGCCCTTATTGTAAGATGTACTGAAATGCACTAAAACGGATCATTAGTACGTTTTAAACTTTAAGTTGAAGCTTATGATAATTGTATTGTACACTTGAGAGAACAATCCATGCTGTGCAAAGGGAAATGGTGTTTCCCTAAAATGTCCCTTAGTGTCCCCTAAAGTTGTCGTTTTTCCTTATTTCCATTCAGCAAAGGTGGTCCCCCTTGTGTGTGCCCATCTCAATGTGTGTGTTGCTGTCTCTGGGTGACTTTGTTGGGGGAAGAACTTTCCTTTCAGTGAACTGAGGAATTTATTTAAATCATTAACTGAAGCTATTAAGAACCCAAATAGTCCATATCAGCCAATCTAAGCCAGGGGCCAGACTGGATAGCCAGATGGAAGTACTTTCCCAAGCCCCATCTGTGTGTGTAACCAATATGTGATGCTGCTGCCCACAGTAAATTGCGCAGGTCTTCAAAATATGACGGTGTTGCCCCTGGGTTCCTCTGGGCTCCTTGGCCCTGGCTCACCTTGATGGGGCTCCTTGGGCTCAGCTTCTTCTTGACTGGGGGGTGGGATAAGTCATGGCATCTCCCAAGCGCCACCCATGTAAGGCATCAAACTGAGCAGTCACAGTAAATTGTACCCCGCATTCTCCTTTTTCACATGAGCAATGGAATGGTAATGATGCTGATATTTACATGGGAACCTAGGAACTGCCAGCCTGGATTCATAGATTCCCACATTCCAAGACCAGGAGGGACTATGTAATCGTCTAGTCCATTAAAATCAGGTCACAACCCACAGTTTGAGAACCGCTGACCTAACACATTTATCTCTGTCCATATTGGCTAGGTAGTTAGACACACACGCACTCTGCCCCCAGGGGGGCAAGCAACTAGACACTGTGTTTCTGTACCCACTGATCAATGTGTTACAGGACCTCTCTGTGCCGATCCAGAGAGGACAGGCTTCTGATCTAGCCCAGGTAGAAACTTTAGCTCATGCTACAGCAGCTCATGCTTTCAGCTCTGGGTGTCCCCTATTCATTCCCCAGGGTATCAAGATGGCAGCTGCCATGCTGAGTTTAAACCAGTATTGGAGCCAGGGTCAGTGCATCCTGCCAGCATCTCAGCCTGGACAAGAGCAGCAGTGGAGACCCAGGGTCTCCCTGGCAGGGAGATAACCCCTGGTTATTGTAGGCTGCAAAAACGTCTGGGGCCTGATTCCCAGGTCCATCACCAGGGTCAATGGGGTGACACTGGCTGGGGCTGGGACTGCTGGCTCTCACTGATGCGCGTCTCCCCCCTGCAGTGCGGAAGGAGGTGGTGAAAATCCCTTCCACCCTGGAAGTGGATGTGGAGGATGTCACTGAGGAGTCTCAACACATCCACTTCATCAAGCCGCTGATGCTGAGTGAGGTCCTGGGGCTGGAGGGGGCCTTCCCCATGCAGGCTGAGATCCTGGAGGGTCCTGAGAACCTGCCTATCTTCGAGAATGACTGGATTCCCCGCCTGCAGAAGGGGCAGAAGATCCAAATCCATGGCAAGTGCTGTGCCTGGAGGATTCTCGCCTCGTCCAGCAAGGGCAGGAGGGGCTCCCGGCACTTCCTGCTCTCCAGCACCTACCAGGGCAAATTTCGAAGACGCCCCCGGGAGTTCCCCACAGTCTTTGACCTGACAACGAGTCTGGGGATGGGTAAGTGCCTGCGGGTGGTGGTGACTAAAGACTGTGAGAGCACCGAGGAGGATCTGCCATCTCTCAGCATGGGGGACCGGCTGGAGGTGCTGCACCTGGCCAAGACCCAGGTCCGCAGGCAGGCAGAACACAAGTCCATCGACGTCCTCCTGTGCAGCCGGAGCAGCGGCGAGGGCGAGGAGAGCGAGGAGCTCATGCTGCCGCTGCACCTGGAAGGCGGCTTTGTGGAAGAGGTCAGCGACAGCAGGAGATACAGCCTCCCCGAGATAGTGCAGCAGCTTCAGCTGCCCTGCGAGGTCAAGGTGGCAACCAAGGATTCTTCCCTTGCCAATGATGTTCTGGGCTCTTTCTCCGCTCTGCGGCTGGAAGCGCGAATCACGGAGCCCTTCTTAGTGACCAGCTTGTGCGAGGCGCCGTCAGTGAGCTTCCAGATCCCCCCTCAGTGGCTGGACATGGCCCTGTTCTTCACAGAGGAGCCTGCCCCACCACAGACACCCCTGACAGACAGGTCAAAAGTCGAAGAGCTGACAGAATCCTTTTATTATCATTTGCTAAAGCTGATGCCTAGCAATGAGGCTCCCCCACCACGGCCCCCCAAAAGAAAGGAGTTCAGGGACAAAGCAGGGACCCAGCTACCTGGAGCCAAAGAGGTCACTGAGAAACCAAAGGTACCGATCTGATTCTTCCTATACGAGGGAGGGGGTGGGCGGTGGGGGGGTGTGTGTGTGTGATATATGCTTTTGTTGCCTATCCCCCTTTTGGGCAGAGCAGCTCTTTTACTGCACCACAGTGGTATTCAGCCAGGCAGCAGAGCACAGGAAGAGCTGGGAAAGAAGGGGACCCCTGCAGAGGTTGGAGTCCTTGCTGATCACCCCACTTCCCTGCAGAAATTCTAGCAGAAATCCTGCACCCCGGCTCTCTGGTGTCCATTTGGGACTGGATTTTCTTGGCAACTATCCCATTGCTTGCAGTCCACACACCCCGCTACCAGCATCTTCAACAGACGGGGCTACAGCCTTTCATTTTTAAAATCCATCTTATTCCTCTTCCCATTAGCCACTGCCCCCTTTGTCCAAGTCAAAGTGCATACCCAAGGAGTCTGTGCCGCCATCCTCCAAGCCTAGGAATGCGAGGAGTCGGCCGATTGTCCAGAGCTCCCCGAATGAGTACTCGCTACATCACACTGGCTCGCAGATCGCCCCTAAGCCTACTAAACCCTTCAAAGAGGCCAGAGGTAAGACTGTCCAATAGACATGCTGCTGTAGCACAAAGGATGAAAAGGAAGTGCACAGAGTGATGCACTGTGGTAAAATTATTAGGACTAATCTGATGAAGCTAAGGGAAAACTTAGGCTGGAAACTTTTCTGATGGTGCGAGCTACTGGGCTGTGACATAATGCCCCCATTGCTTGGGACGCAATGTTGGATACAATTCTAAAAAGGCGAGTGGGAAACAATTACTTGCTTCCTGCAAGAACACCAGAAGCCAGGAGCTGGAGAGGGGGTCTGGGAGTGTTTGACCATTGCAGGGGCCCGGAAGTTCGTTATTAGGGGGTTTCCCCTGCTTCTGCAGCATCAACATTCCAGCCCCTATCAGCCTGCATAGAGATTAGATTTGACCAAGAAATGGAAAAACCACTTTGCAACACATTGGGCCGTTTGGAATTTCTTCCTGTTTCAAAGGGTTGAAATGGACCCATTTTGCACTTTTTGTAAAAACTTTATTTAAATTGTTTTACTAAAAAATTTGAATATTCAAAATTTAGTTCTCCCCCTTTTTGCCAGAGTGCAATAAAATGAATGTGGTCCAGGGTTTTCCTCACACAGTCCTTTTTTTCTTTCTTTTTCCAGTCTGTCGTGTTTCAAATCTTCAACTTTGAAAAAGCTGCCAAGCAATAGAATGACAGTTTCATTTCTCCTTTTGTCCCTTGGTAACTTTTCTAAAGTTGGCAAAGATTTGACAACTTACAGAGGAGAAAAGGGAGGGGAAAAAATTCTAGACCTTATTCATTCTACCGCATTCAGTAACAAACAAACAAGAGTGAGAAAGGGGGAAAAAACCTGAAGGCTCAAAAAAAAATTATTTCAAAAATTAAAATTAAAATTTAATTTGAAAAGAAATTAGATTACAATTTTTGTTTAGAAAATTTTTGCTGACAAAAATTAAATTTTTCATGGGAATATATAGTCATTTTTCAGAAAACACCATTTTCAGCAGGAAATTTTTGATCTGATCTAGGGTCAGTGGGATCTGTGCTTGAACATATACGGTACTATAAAATGCATATCAGTACTCTAGGAAAGCAGGGTCTAGGCATCTCAAATTGGGCACCCAAAATTAGTGGACCAGATAACAATTTTGGCCTTAACCTCTCTGTGTCTCTGGTCCCTATGTGTAAAACAGGAACAACCCCACCCACCCCTCACCTCACTGAGGCTGTCCAGGCACACAACCTTAATTTTGATGCTTCCTAACTTTTGAGTGCTCAATTTTGCAACTTTCATATTCTTTAAAGTTTTGTTAATATAATGTAGGAAGAAATCAGGCTGTCTTGTTCACTCAGGGAGCGCACGCAGCAAGGGGTAACCCTCATGCCAGTGCAGATACAGAGAAGTAGGCTACGGTCATAAAAACAAATCTCATGCTTGAGGGTGTGAACCGATCTCCGCAGGGGCTGGAAAGTATGTGCCCTCCCACTAACAGCCCTCCCACTAACCCTAAAACTGGCTCTAGGTTCATGGAATGGTTTTGTTTGTCATCCCCCGCAAAGCATTAGATACTGGCCACTGACAGAAGCCGGACACCAGTCTGGATAGGTTATTGGTCTAATTGAGCACAACACATGCTGCGTTCTTAGCAACATGCAAACTCACTATATTGCTCATGGCTTTTTATGCTCTTGCTCCTGGGATATTTGCTGTTAGTCACCTTTGCTAGTGTTGTACTCAGATAAAAGTATTACTCTTGCATCGCAAGGCCTCTCAACACTGGCAGGGAAGAAGGAGAGATCAAGAATCTGCCTCTCTAAAGGGTTTCTATAGTCCGTACCTCCCTAGTATCTTAGCACATGGAGTCATCCAGGACATCCCAAACGCTGTCACAGCACCTGCATGGTATTCTCTTTCCTCTTCCTTTTAGATGCAAATGCCAGCGAGGATTCTGACCATGACTATGAACTAATTGATGAAGACCTTATAAAAACAATTGATAAAATGCAGAAGGCTGTTCTTCACTACTAGGACTCCAGCCCACAGGACACGAAAAGATGCTGGCCTACGCCAAAGCCACTTCCAGCTCTTCAACTCAGAGATGAGCACTCACAAAAGCTAAATGCAGCACTGAGTCCTATGAAGTGGCTTCCAACTGCCCTTTCTGGTGCAGCCTGAAGAGACAGCTGGGTTCCAGCAGTCACTGCTCCATTGTGCTGCAAGCAAGCGAGCCTGCACATTCAGAGACCTGCCCTGTCCTCTATGTACTAAAGCAGAGGGCTGGTGTTGTTGGTCCTATGGTAAGGGGAGTGCTGTCCTTAGCTGTGTAGTTTGGAACCAGGGTGGCTGGAACAATTTGTATAGTGGGGGTGCTGAGAGCCATTGAATCAAACTGTAAACCCTGTTTGTGATGGAAAACACCTGTTCTTACCCCTGTATACCCCACTGTAAACTTCTGGGATGGGGATACTTGATCTGAATCACCTTGATTCACATCTGTAAGGGGCTGGAAACGCGCCACCCCTGGAGCCTCACCTGAGCGCACTCACACCCTGAGCAGGCCCATAGGCAGCCATCTACCAGGAGGTGGGGTAGCGCTTGAGTGATCTTTCACCCTCACTGCATGGATAACAAAGACGACTTTTCTGCAGCTGCTGCATGCTGTTCTGGGTGGGGTTTAATATTGTAGGTCATCAAGGCCGGCCAAAGCTTTCAACCCTGTGTGCCTAAAGTTAGACTCAATAGAAGCAGCTTCATTATGGAAGGTGCTGAGCAGCTCTCACTGCTGTCAGTGGGATATGTGGGGACATGACCCTGCTGAAAATTGGGCTACTTTGTTTCGGTGCGTCACTATTGATTTAGAAACCTAACTTTAGGCATCCAGGTTTGGCAATGTAAGCCTCAGAATATCTCCTGGATGAGAATCAGTGCAGCTGCCAGCATGCAGTGAACTGGGTTAGTTAGGGTTTGTTTAGCATATTTTGTACAGTGCAGTGCTGGCTACAGCTGGGACCCACACAAATTACTCACACATTTACGTAATTGGAGAGGTTGCCCTGGCTCTCTGAGGACACAATTCAAACACCAAGGCACTATGGAGAAACACTTCCAGGGGCTGGAATTAACAGACACTCTACAGCTCCCGCTGAACTCATTTCTCCTTTTGCGAACGCTGTAAAAAGCTGCAGTTGTGAACCCCCTCCCCCATTATTTTCAGTGATTTGGTTTGTCTCAGCCATTTTTAGACAGCCAGAGGCTACATCTTTGATCACAGCTGGAGACAACTGGTGCTAATGTTCCACCTGTCCTTCAGCTCACAGGGTACCGCGTGCTTGTGAGCAAGCCTGTTGCCGTCTTCCTTTGGCATGCCCAGTGTGATGCTTGTGAATGACCCTGCTGCGCCCTTGGTCTTTGGCTCTCATTTATAAGGTGGCAAAAAAACACAATAAAAAGTGTCACAATACAAGTCCAGCAGTTTTATTTAAAGTTTGGTAAAATATCTTGAAGCCTCAGGATCAATATTCTCTATGCAACAAAATGCATCTGTCACAAGGCAGAGGGAAGAGAAATAATTGGATGGCTTGTTTGATTTTAATGGTGTAAAACTTTAGGTTATTCAACGGTAGCATCATGCAGTGCAAGAGAACACTTCCCCACCTTCCACATCCCCCTGGTATCTGGGCACAATGCAGGCATGACAGGCTTAGTGGAAGAAAGGCTGGAAGACACCTGCTGACTGCTTTGAGGAACAGGTAGAAATAGAAATCTAAAGAGATCTGAAACCTAACCCCTCCACCTGACTGAAAGCAAGGCCCTTTTGCTATTCATCCAGCCAAAGGGAGGATTATACTCTGTAGCGTGACTTTAACGTCATCATCATCGTAGAGCTCCACATTTATTCTTGTCTACTCTCCAGCAAGTCTATGAACGCATACTGGGATCTGGGGCTAGGTGATGGGGCAGAGGATCTTGGAACCCAGGCTCCAGCCCAAGCTCAAATTTTTAGCTCAACAGTCCAAGCCGTGAGCCCGAGTTGGCTGAGTCAGGCTGAGACTCAGCCCTGTGGGTTTTTTATTGCAGTACAGACATACGAAAGTCAAGTTAGTGCTTCTGGTTTGTGCATCACTAGATTCCATACCCCAAAAGCTGCCAGTTGCACCTGTACATCACTTGTCCTCAAAATTATACCCTTGGCTACACCTCTGCTGCTACAATAACCTGAACAGAATATTGCATTCAGTGGGCTTGCATAGGTGTAACTGAGAGCAGTATCTGAAGACACTAGAGGGCAAAGCCAGTTCTGTTGATGTGTGAACAAGGAAGAATCCAGCTCCCGAAGCTGGACAGCTTCTGCGGTGCCAAAAGAACAGTAAAATCTTGCTCTCGTTTACATACAAAAGGCCTACATCGAAAACATTAACATTGCAAACTGAAGCAACTGAAATGTAGAACTGCCAGATTTAAGGTTGCCAATTACAACCCAGGTTCAATCATGATAGTCTGTAATACATGAACACATGCCCCCACCCCCTTTTTTTTTTTTGGTCACAGGACCCTTGCCTCATTCAGTGCACAGGACAGATGTTGCTCAGAGACTCAATCAGGGTTGTGTAGTGAAGGACGCTATTATCTATAGCATCCCAGCCTTGTTTGTTGCAGAAGTTGGAAGGTGGGTAGTAGCAAATGAGGCAGGGGACTCATAGTTACAGCAGTTGAATGCTACCCTGGAAAATGATTCCATTCCAGCCTCCACCAGATAGCTCTTCCTGATGCTGGGCAAGTCATTTAAACCAAACTTCTCCCAGAGGGTCACTATGTGTTCCTCACGTTCTGGGTGCCCAACATGAGATACATGGGCCCTGACTAGCACTCATTTTTGCTACTGAAGTCAGGGGGAAGCTGTGAATACACAAAGTGCTGAAAAACAAGAAAAATCAGGCCCTGTGGAAAAAAAAATATGAAATGGTCACAGAAATAGTTCTGATGATGCATAAGCACCAGGGGGCTCAAGCAGAGTTTATATAGGCAACCTTAATTCTGGCATTTCCTAAATATTAGTGCTTTATTTTTGTTTTTAAAGTAGGAATTTTTTTTTTTTTAAGAGAGAAAAAAGTTCAACATGATGAACTGTGTAGTGAGCACCACATGGGTCATCAGCAGAATTGGAACTTTTTAAGTTGTCTTTGTTTTTAATAAAGACAAAAATCCTGGAGTGTTACATTTAGTTTCTGAACTTTCTACTGTGTTCAGTTTTTGTGAAAGTTTAACCCTTTAAAAAAGTTTACTCCAAAGGCCTCATGCATTTTCCATTGCAGTGGGAGAAAGTACAGAACCTGTTTATTCAGTTCAGGGAATATGCCAGGGGTAAGTTCCATCAAGGTGGAAGCTTTTCTACCTTTGAGAATGCCCCCCACAAGCAGCGGCGTATTAACGCCTAGGCCGGCAAATTTATAATAGCAGCCAGAGGCTGCTTCCCCAGCGCCTGTTTGCACCCTCCACCCCCAGCCCTGCCCCAACTCCACCCCTTCCCCGCCCCCTCCCTGCCCCTATTGGTCCCCTTCCCCAAACCCCCACCCCGGCCCCACCTCCTCTCCTGAGTGTGCCGCGTTCCCCCCACTTCTCCCCTCCTTCGCGAAGCTGTTTCGTGCACAAGCACAGGCAGGGAGCAGGGAGGAGCAGGACCCAGCAGCGTGCTCAGGGGACGAGGCGGACTGGAGGTGAGCTGTGGCGGGGGGGCCGGGAGCTGCGGGGGGTGGGGGAAAGGGGGGCAATTATTTCAGGGCCTGGGGCAGCAAAATCATTAATCCGCCACTGCCCACAAGCACATCCATCACAAACTAAAAAGCTTTATTGGAATATCAAAAGTTTCATTAACAGGATCATCCTGTAATACAAATATAGATGTAAGAAGTGCAGAAAGTAGACTATTCTTAAGCACTGTACCTTGGCAGGCTATCTAAGAATATCCCACCTTTATCAACTAAACAGGCTGAAGGCTGGCCAAGCTGAGAAGCCATTTCAGAACAATCTGCCAGTGACAAGGCTGCGCAGACCCACTCTCTCCCCTTCTTACCAGTGGTGCTGTATGAGATGGATACTAGATGAACAAAGGCTCTGAAGCTTCCAGTTCTTCACACGGAGGTCATTTCTCCCCCGAACACCTGGTTAAGCTTTAGTCACTCTGTCTCATTATATTATTTGAGTCTGGTTAGGGGAATACTGTACATTTACTTTGCTGCTCTTGTTTTGAGAATTCTGGATGCTCACAGGGTAACTGCAACTTTCAAGAGATGTAAGTAGCAGAGATCACCTTCTGCAGAGAAAAGCTTGGTAGAGCTACTTTAAGATATGTACACATAGTACTGTAATTACAGCATAGATTGGTGCTTGCATGGAACCAAACCCAGCAGGATAGGGCAACTCTCAGAAGCACCTTTATTCGGCATCTGTAGATTTATAGTGATCGTCATCCACAGTGGAATAGATGTGTCCCTCACTGCTAAGAAATTCAACCGCTTGCCTGAGGAAGAAAAAACAACCATTTCATTATCGACAGCTTCTTTTTGGGGTGCATGTCCTCAGATCATTGCCACTGCTCTCCTCCAGCATCCCATGCAAATGCCTCAGCAGCCCTTCCTCCACAGCAAGCCCAGTTGCTCCGTGTGTCAAAGGGAAACAAAGTTGTTCAGGATGAGCACACACCTTCCCAAGGGCAAGCCTACGTGGCCCACCCAATAGCTTCCAGCCCCTGCCATCTATGGGAGGAAAACACCACCACTTAACATTGTTCAGCTAGAGGAAGTAGCTATGGCTACCTGTTGCAAACTGAGATGGGATATGGAAAATGGCAAGATTTAAAATGACATGCTGAGCCCCACCACCTTCCCAACACTCAGGGAGGCTGGGTCAGGCGAGGAGAGGGTAAGAGACAGTAAGGAAGAAAGAAGCCAGTCCACCTCACTAAATTCTGCCTGATATCCAGGATATGCAAGATGGGCTTCAAATTCAAATACGTAACAGAAACAGACATACTGTCCATACTACTTTCAGTCACAAGTAACTTACACAAATGTAAAAACAGTATTACAAGGTGATACAGCTCATCGGTGTCCCACTCAACCCCAGCTACTCAGCTCATCTTGCTGAAGTTTTAAGAAATGTTTAGATCTGGGCTGACACCAAGCATGAGAAACTGGTCAGTGTGAAAGGAAAGTGTGGGAAGATAATGGATCTTGCTCTATGTTAACGTGGAGGGAGGGAAGGGCAGGGGGTACAATATTGCTGTGGCAGAGAAGCCAGGGAGTGCATAGTAAACAAACATTTCAGGATATCAAACTGTTTAAAGACAGTGCTGTTCTGTCTGGGATAGACTCATCCCTTTCCGAGAATCTTCCCAGATAAGTCGAGTTTTTAGCAAGATCTCTGGAATTCACCTTTAAGCCTATTAAGTCCTCAGATGAAGTCATTCTGTGACAGCTACCTGCTAAAAGGGCACCTCTGTTTTAGAGAAGTCTTTTCAAATTAACCTCTATTGTAAATAATGGATGAGAGTGAGTATCCCACCAATACCTTGGTAATAGCAATGCACCATTAATTCTACACAGATATGCTGAGGAAAAAGATTCTTGACCTGAAAGAAGTAATGGGATGTATGCCCCAACACTCACTACTGTTCCATCCATCAAGTTAAGTGAGGCTACATCTGGAGTCCCAGCACCAGTGCATGCTACAGTGAGCCAGTGCATTTCTTTATCACACTCTCCGTCTGCCAGGTACTACCAAGTAGGTTCAGCGAAGACAGCTTTGGTTTCCAGAACATCCTTTGTCTCTGTATACTTACTTGATTGTTATTATATTGATGTTATGTAGTTGGGATTTCAGCTCCTTCAGGCTCAAGCCTTCTGGATCAGAGCAGCTTTTAATCAAATTTAACACCTGACAAAGTAAGAAGTTATAGACATGGTTAGCAGTAGACTCAAGAGCACATCAGACTCTTCCATTTCATGTTCCCACAGACTTAGGTAAAAAACTCCAGACAGCATTGCCTCCACTCCATGCATGTTGCTATTACTGAGCACAAATTTATTGCCTCCATTTGCAGAATGCTTGCAACTTTTCCTATTACTGGAGAGTCTGAAGAGACATTCCTTCCACAGGGAGAGCTGAATTCCATTTCTAGTTGCAGCTCATGAGTCTGCCATAAGTTTAGCACGACTTACTACCTTCAGGCTATGGCTGAACTCCCACCAGTCAATGGAAGGGTTACCAAAAAGATGAAGGCTAGAATATGACCTTTATGTAATAACCAATCTTTGATTTGTCCTATATCACATTGCATTCATCATCACTCAGCGATTGCTGTATTGCTGTAATGGCAAATTACTGTTCACACATACCTGACTCTGATGTGCTGTAAGTCCATTCACTGGCACACTACTACCACATCCATAGCTTGCCATATCACCCATTCCAAAGGAGCCCAGAGACTGAGGCATTTTTGATGATGTCTAAAATTACAGAATAAAACAGTTGTGGTCACAAGCTACTTCAAGGCCACAGTAATAAGACAGAGTGATCCCAAATAGAGACTAGTGGAGGTTGGCTGTACCACAGTGGCAAAAATCTCTCTGGGAAAGCCAGGGTGACTGCATCATGATCACAGCAACCTCCTACTTCCTGAAGTTATCTATGCTGCCACATTAAACCCCACTTCCTCCAAGAACCTCTTATGGAGGCAGCCTGGAACATTGTTCTGCATAAGGGCTGGAGCAGAGAAGAGACACAAGGACATACCATGATGCTTTTTCTGAGGACCATATGTGCATTGACGATTTCCAATAAGTGTGTGGTGAACTCATTCATATCTTCAAGAGGCATGATCTTAAATGCTACCAGGCTCTTCTTATTCTTTTGGAGAGGAAAAAAAGCAATTGGGGAGATTACAACACTAGGAACGTGTTTAATGTATCTGCAAAAACACATTGCAACCACAGCCCTAAAGAGCAGAGGAACAGTGATGGGAACAGTGTTTGTTTCCATAAAATCAGTGACAAAGTTATGGAAGTTAGCCCTAATCTGAAACTTCCCCAGGAACAGATTCACATTATATGAATGTGACAGACCTTCATGGGAGTAATTTATCTCAAAGATATACCACCACCCCACCCCAATAACACTGTACAGTCAAGGTGGCAGTGGCTGTCCACAGCAGAGAAAGAATCCTGGAAAGTCCAGTATACCAGTGCCCATTTAAAAGCAGTGTTAATACTATATAGAGAATTAGAACTCATCCCCTTTTTAAAGTTGTATTAACAGAGGGGCAAAATAGTGCCTTTTCTTTTAAGTCAGAAGTTTGAGGGGAAAAAAACCGCAGAGGCTTGCTTTCAAGCAAACTAGTATCTGTACTGTGTTTTACATGTACAGTGCCATATAAGTGCTTATTATGTTACTGAAATGACGACTGCTCAGCTCCTTTCTTTGGCTGCAGTCTTGCTGAGGCAGGAACCATACATTTGTGTGGTGCCTAGCACAACGGGTTCCCCAGTAACCTGAGTGGAGCCTCTGGAAACTACTACCATACAAACAAAGGCATCATATGAGCGACATTATGAGAGGTCAAAGTGATGCTGAGAGATTAGATATTGGCGCCAATTACTTTAGTCAGTAGCAAACAACTTGTTGAGCCATGCAGCATGACTTGAAGGTTCTCCTCTCTTGCATTTGAGAAGGGGACAGTTTGAGGGGAGAGATTTTCCCGTTACGTTTACTATTGCAGATACAGTGGCAGGGGTGGGTGTAACTAGTTACTAATCTATGATAAAAATGAATCGTGTGCATGTCATGTTGGATGGCAATATGTTTGTTGATATGAATTGTTATCAGGGTGTCTGGAATGGGCACCTATTAATGCAACATTTGTAAGAAGGCAAAATAGTTAGTAGCCAAGCTGGGAACAGATTCCTGAAGGCAGGCATTGGCTGTGCTGGTAGGTGACAAGGTTTGTCTAAAATTAAATGTTGCCTCTGAACTGTGTTTCACCAGGGACCTGATCAAGCCTCACTGAAGCCAATGGAGCTGCTATAGACTTGGGTGGAACACAATCAGGCTCCCAGACAGGATGCAATAGAATCCCTAAGCAGGCCCTGTTAGAAGCAGCAGATAGGGAGCACCAAGCCTTCAGCAATCACTTCAGCCTCGCTATTTAGAAGAAGTCATACAAGTAAAGAACAGGATTCTACCTGGAATGATCGAAGATGACCAGCCACTTTCACGTAAGTTCCTGGGGGCACCACAACATTCTCACTCCCTGCCTCCTTACAAAGGGGGGGGGGGGGGGGGGGGGGGGAGAGAAAAGGAGAAAAGATTTGCTTGGTCCTTGCAGTTCCTTTCTCAGTTATTAGCAATATTAAGTTACATAAAGAGAGACACCCATCTTTTTTAAAAAAGCTACACATTCCTGTTTGGAAGTTTTCTTACCTACTCATAGAATCATAGAATATCAAGGATGGAAGGGACCTCAGGAGGTCATCTAGTCCAACGCCCTACTCAAAGCAGGACCAATCCCCAACTAAATCAACTATTGTTGTTACAAGTAACCCTAATGATCACTGTAGCTGAAACAGTAGGAGAAAACCTCTCTATTTGTTTACATTGTGCATTTCACAGCACTTTGTTTAGTCAGTTACACTATGTCCTTCATACAGTCAGTTTGCCCCATTTCGACGGTCTTTCATATAGCAACAGGAGAGAAAAAATGTTTTGTACAAGAAGATTCAATTGTACAGCCATATACATTGACTGCAGGTCTTGGGGAAGACATAAAACCGCCTTTCATTCTGCTGACTGCACTTCAAGTTTACAGCGTCTAATTGTCTCAAACTTGCTCACCTTGGCTAGGTATTGCCTGTAGTTATATGTTGTAATGTCTCTTTTAAGTGTCAGTCAATGCCAGCCTACATTACTATATTGGTATGGGAGAGTCTAAGGAAACTAGAGACATGCCTTAGTTTAAGATAAAGTGGTTTCAGGATAGAGAGGGATTCCATCTCTTCAAATGATAAGCTTAGTACAGTGACTCTCAACCTTTCCAGACTACTGTACCCCTTTCAGGAGTCTGATTTGTCTTGCATACCCCAAGTTTCACCTGACTTAAAAACTACTTGCTTACAAAATCAGACATAAAAATATAAGCGCCACAGCACACTATTACTGAAAAATTGCTTCCTTTATCATTTTTACCATATAATTATAATTCAATTGGAATAAAAATATTGTACTTACATTTCAGCTCTCTCATGAAAAGCCAAAGAGACAACACCCTCCCAGTTATACCCAATCAAGCAAAGTGTGGATTCAAATTTGTATCTCCCACATCCCGTATAAGTGTCCTAACTACTGGGTATTCTGGGACAGATGGACATCCCCCCCCCCGGCCCCAAGCCTGAAACATTCAGTGTATAGCATACTGAGCAGTATAAACAAATCATTATCTGTATGAAATTTTAGTTTGTACTGACTTCACTAGTGTTTTTTATGTAGCCTGTTGTAAAACTAGGCAAATATTTAGATGAGCTGATATACCGCCTGGTACTGCTAAGTATACCCCTGGTTGAGAACAAACTGGCTTAGTGTATGTGAGAATAAGACAAGCAACTCATCAGTGTACATGTTTTAGGCTTGCCTAAGCACAGCCATGTATGACACCAGTAGGTAATCAAACTAAGTCCCCAGAGGCACCAGGAGTGTTTTTATTTTTTTAAAAAGGGAAGGGGAAGAGGAAGACGTGCTCATGTTCTTCTTCAGTTTGGTTAAGGAACAACATTCTTTAAGAACCTTGCCCCATCATCAACATCCTGAAGCATATATACTACAATGTTGGGCTTGCAAGAGAATAATTCCCCAGGAACACTAAATGTCCCTGCGAGAGGGATGCTCTTTTAGGTTTACATAGGTCAGATAAAGCACTGATAACAAGTCTCTTTTGATACAGCCAAATTATCCACTGGGGGATCTCTTCTGTTCTCAGAACACAAAAACTCCCATGCAATAAGTACATGTAGAATAGGTAAAGGAGAATTTTCCAGTGCTCAATAATAGACCTATTCAAAGGACGTATTACTAAGAAGTACCTCAACATATCTGGGATCAGATCAGGCATTCGTGGCTAGATTCACAAAGGAATTGCCCAGGCATTGCAATGATGGACTCCTAGATCCCTGCTACTTAGTGATATTCTCAGCCCCAAGTTAGACACCCAGGCTTCTCACATCTTATATGGAGAGTTACACATCTAAGACAGGGATTCTCAGAAGCCAGTAAGCTGAGCAGGGAGATGTCTAAGCCAGCCAAGAGTGAAATACAAAGGAAAGAGGCAGGGCTTATGGCCCAGAGGGAAGCACCTGTCTCTGCTCAGGATCCTCAGCCATGAGCCCTCTCCTGGAGTTAGGCCCCCAAGTCAGATAAGCCCTTTCACGGAAAGCCAGAGATATAACTGGGAGGGTGTTGTAACCAATAGTGGGCAAGTCAGGGTCAATTTCCTGCTTCACACCAGGCAAAGTGGGGATTCAAACTTGTATCTCCCACATCCTAACCTAACTACTGGGTATTCTGGGACAGACAGACACACACACCTGAGCCTGGAACATTCTTCACTTGCTTCCTTCCCCACCCCCAGTCTTTTGTGAGGGTTAGACATACTCTGAGCACACCTGCCAGACTGGGCTCGTCTGGCAAGATAGGTGGGGGAAAGCCTAATTTGAGAATTGCTCTGCAGTTTTGGCTTGAACGAGGACTCCAAGCTGCTCATTAGCCATGGGGTAGTGTCAGGACTGGGTGGCTTTGCACATGCTCACCAGTGGAAACATAAGCACCTACAGGGTTAGGCAGCAGCTGGACAATAGTTTTAAGAATGTCAGTGGCACCTAAATGGATGGTTATAAACTGTTCAGGAAGGACAGGCAGGGCAGAAAAGGTGGGGGAGTAGCACTGTATGTAAGGGAGCAGTATGACTGCTCAGAGCTCCGGTACGAAACTGCAGAAAATCCTGAGTGTCTCTGGATTAAGTTTAGAAGTGTGAGCAACAAGAGTGATGTAGTGTGGTAGTCTGCTATAGACCACCGGACTAGGGGATGAGGCTTTCTTCCGGCAACTCGCAGAAGCTACTAGATCGCATGCCCTAGTTCTCATGGGTGACTTTAATTTTCCTGATATCTGCTGGGAGAGCAATACAGCGGTGCATAGACAATCCAGGAAGTTTTTGGAAAGCATAGGGGACAATTTCCTGGTGCAAGTGCTAGAGGAGCCAACTGGGGGGGGGGAGCTTTTCTTGACCTGCTGCTCACAAACCGGGAAGAATTAGTGGGGGAAGCAAAAGTGGATGGGAATCTGGGAGGCAGTGACCATGAGTTGGTTGAGTTCAGGATCCTGACACAGGGAAGAAAGGTAAGCAGGGACTTCAGGAAAGCAGACTTCGACTCCCTCAGGGAACGGATGGGTAGGATCCCCTGGGGGACTAACATGAAGGGAAAAGGAGTCCAGGAGAGCTGGCTGTATTTCAAGGAATCCCTGTTGAGGTTACAGGGACAAACCATCCCGATGAGTCGAAAGAATAGTAAATATGGCAGGCGACCAGCTTGGCTTAACGGTGAAATCCTAGGGGATCTTAAACATAAAAAAGAAGCTCACAAGAAGTGGAAGGTTGGACATATGACCAGGGAAGAGTATAAAAATATTGCTCGGGCATGTAGGAATGAAATCAGGAGGGCCAAATCGCACCTGGAGCTGCAGCTAGCAAGAGATGTCAAGAGTAACAAGAAGGGTTTCTGCAGGTATGTTGGCAACAAGAAGAAAGCCAAGGAAAGTGTGGGCCCCTTACTGAACGAGGGAGGCAACCTAGTGACAGAGGATGTGGAAAAAGCTAATGTGCTCAATGCTTTTTTTGCCTCTGTCTTCACTAACAAGGACAGCTCCCAGACTGCTGCGCTGGGCACCACAACATGGGGAGTAGATGGCCAGCCCTCTGTGGAGAAAGAGGTGGTTAGGGACTATTTAGAAAAGCTGGACATGCACAAGTCCATGGGGCCGGACGAGTTGCATCTGAGAGTGCTAAAGGAATTGGCGGCTGTGATTGCAGAGCCATTGGCCATTATCTTTGAAAACTCGTGACGAACGGGGGGAAGTCCCAGATGACTGGAAAAGGGCTAATGTAGTACCAATCTTTTAAAAAAGGGAAGAAGGAGGATCCTGGGAACTACAGGCCAGTCAGCCTCACCTCAGTCCCCGGAAAAATCATGGAGCAGGTCCTCTAGGAATCAATCCTGAAGCACTTACATGAGAGGAAAGTGATCAGGAACAGTCAGCATGGATTCACCAAGGGAAGGTCATGCCTGACTAATCTAATCGCCTTCTATGATGAGATTACTGGTTCTGTGGATGAAGGGAAAGCAGTGGATGTATTGTTTCTTGACTTTAGCAAAGCTTTTGACACGGTCTCCCACAGTATTCTTGTCAGCAAGTTAAAGAAGTACGGGCTGGATGAATGCACTATAAGGTGGGTAGAAAGTTGGCTAGATTGTCAGGCTCAACGGGTAGTGATCAATGGCTCCACGTCTAGTTGGCAGCCGGTGTCAAGTGGAGTGCCTCAGGGGTCGGTCCTGGGGCTGATTTTGTTCAATATCTTCATAAATGATCTGGAGGATGGTGTGGATTGCACTCTCAGCAAATTTGCGGATGATACTAAACTGGGAGGAGTGGTAGATATGTTGGAGGGCAGGGATAGGATACAGAGGGACCTAGACAAATTGGAGGATTGGGCCAAAAGAAATCTGATGAGGTTCAATAAGGATAAGTGCAGGGTCCTGCACTTAGGATGGAAGAACCCAATGCACAGCTACAGACTAGGGACCGAATGGCTAGGCAGCAGTTCTGCGGAAAAGGACCTAGGGGTGACAGTGGACGAGAAGCTGGATATGAGTCAGCAGTGTGCCCTTGTTGACAAGAAGGCCAATGGCATTTTGGGATGTATAAGTAGGGGCATTGCCAGCAGATCGAGGGACGTGATCGTTCCCCTCTATTCGACATTGGTGAGGCCTCATCTGGAGTACTGTGTCCAGTTTTGGGCCCCACACTACAAGAAGGATGTGGATAAATTGGAGAGAGTCCAGCGAAGGGCAACAAAAATGATTAGGGGTCTGGAACACATGACTTATGAGGAGAGGCTGAGGGAACTGGGATTGTTTAGTCTGCAGAAGAGAAGAATGAGGGGGGATTTGATAGCTGCTTTCAACTACCTGAGAGGTGGTTCCAGAGAGGGTGGTTCTAGACTATTCTCAGTGGTAGAAGAGGACAGAACGAGGAGTAATGTAATCAGTGTACATGTTTTAGGCTTGCCTAAGCACAGCCATGTATGACACCAGTAGGTAATCAAACTAAGTCCCCAGAGGCACCAGGAGTGTTTTTATTTTTTAAAAAGGGAAGGGGAAGAGGAAGACGTGCTCATGTTCTTCTTCAGTTTGGTTAAGGAACAACATTCTTTAAGAACCTTGCCCCATCATCAACATCCTGAAGCATATATACTACAATGTTGGGCTTGCAAGAGAATAATTCCCCAGGAACACTAAATGTCCCTGCGAGAGGGATGCTCTTTTAGGTTTACATAGGTCAGATAAAGCACTGATAACAAGTCTCTTTTGATACAGCCAAATTATCCACTGGGGGATCTCTTCTGTTCTCAGAACACAAAAACTCCCATGCAATAAGTACATGTAGAATAGGTAAAGGAGAATTTTCCAGTGCTCAATAATAGACCTATTCAAAGGACGTATTACTAAGAAGTACCTCAACATATCTGGGATCAGATCAGGCATTCGTGGCTAGATTCACAAAGGAATTGCCCAGGCATTGCAATGATGGACTCCTAGATCCCTGCTACTTAGTGATATTCTCAGCCCCAAGTTAGACACCCAGGCTTCTCACATCTTATATGGAGAGTTACACATCTAAGACAGGGATTCTCAGAAGCCAGTAAGCTGAGCAGGGAGATGTCTAAGCCAGCCAAGAGTGAAATACAAAGGAAAGAGGCAGGGCTTATGGCCCAGAGGGAAGCACCTGTCTCTGCTCAGGATCCTCAGCCATGAGCCCTCTCCTGGAGTTAGGCCCCCAAGTCAGATAAGCCCTTTCACGGAAAGCCAGAGATATAACTGGGAGGGTGTTGTAACCAATAGTGGGCAAGTCAGGGTCAATTTCCTGCTTCACACCAGGCAAAGTGGGGATTCAAACTTGTATCTCCCACATCCTAACCTAACTACTGGGTATTCTGGGACAGACAGACACACACACCTGAGCCTGGAACATTCTTCACTTGCTTCCTTCCCCACCCCCAGTCTTTTGTGAGGGTTAGACATACTCTGAGCACACCTGCCAGACTGGGCTCGTCTGGCAAGATAGGTGGGGGAAAGCCTAATTTGAGAATTGCTCTGCAGTTTTGGCTTGAACGAGGACTCCAAGCTGCTCATTAGCCATGGGGTAGTGTCAGGACTGGGTGGCTTTGCACATGCTCACCAGTGGAAACATAAGCACCTACAGGGTTAGGCAGCAGCTGGACAATAGTTTTAAGAATGTCAGTGGCACCTAAATGGATGGTTATAAACTGTTCAGGAAGGACAGGCAGGGCAGAAAAGGTGGGGGAGTAGCACTGTATGTAAGGGAGCAGTATGACTGCTCAGAGCTCCGGTACGAAACTGCAGAAAATCCTGAGTGTCTCTGGATTAAGTTTAGAAGTGTGAGCAACAAGAGTGATGTAGTGTGGTAGTCTGCTATAGACCACCGGACTAGGGGATGAGGCTTTCTTCCGGCAACTCGCAGAAGCTACTAGATCGCATGCCCTAGTTCTCATGGGTGACTTTAATTTTCCTGATATCTGCTGGGAGAGCAATACAGCGGTGCATAGACAATCCAGGAAGTTTTTGGAAAGCATAGGGGACAATTTCCTGGTGCAAGTGCTAGAGGAGCCAACTGGGGGGGGGGAGCTTTTCTTGACCTGCTGCTCACAAACCGGGAAGAATTAGTGGGGGAAGCAAAAGTGGATGGGAATCTGGGAGGCAGTGACCATGAGTTGGTTGAGTTCAGGATCCTGACACAGGGAAGAAAGGTAAGCAGGGACTTCAGGAAAGCAGACTTCGACTCCCTCAGGGAACGGATGGGTAGGATCCCCTGGGGGACTAACATGAAGGGAAAAGGAGTCCAGGAGAGCTGGCTGTATTTCAAGGAATCCCTGTTGAGGTTACAGGGACAAACCATCCCGATGAGTCGAAAGAATAGTAAATATGGCAGGCGACCAGCTTGGCTTAACGGTGAAATCCTAGGGGATCTTAAACATAAAAAAGAAGCTCACAAGAAGTGGAAGGTTGGACATATGACCAGGGAAGAGTATAAAAATATTGCTCGGGCATGTAGGAATGAAATCAGGAGGGCCAAATCGCACCTGGAGCTGCAGCTAGCAAGAGATGTCAAGAGTAACAAGAAGGGTTTCTGCAGGTATGTTGGCAACAAGAAGAAAGCCAAGGAAAGTGTGGGCCCCTTACTGAACGAGGGAGGCAACCTAGTGACAGAGGATGTGGAAAAAGCTAATGTGCTCAATGCTTTTTTTGCCTCTGTCTTCACTAACAAGGACAGCTCCCAGACTGCTGCGCTGGGCACCACAACATGGGGAGTAGATGGCCAGCCCTCTGTGGAGAAAGAGGTGGTTAGGGACTATTTAGAAAAGCTGGACATGCACAAGTCCATGGGGCCGGACGAGTTGCATCTGAGAGTGCTAAAGGAATTGGCGGCTGTGATTGCAGAGCCATTGGCCATTATCTTTGAAAACTCGTGACGAACGGGGGGAAGTCCCAGATGACTGGAAAAGGGCTAATGTAGTACCAATCTTTAAAAAAGGGAAGAAGGAGGATCCTGGGAACTACAGGCCAGTCAGCCTCACCTCAGTCCCCGGAAAAATCATGGAGCAGGTCCTCTAGGAATCAATCCTGAAGCACTTACATGAGAGGAAAGTGATCAGGAACAGTCAGCATGGATTCACCAAGGGAAGGTCATGCCTGACTAATCTAATCGCCTTCTATGATGAGATTACTGGTTCTGTGGATGAAGGGAAAGCAGTGGATGTATTGTTTCTTGACTTTAGCAAAGCTTTTGACACGGTCTCCCACAGTATTCTTGTCAGCAAGTTAAAGAAGTACGGGCTGGATGAATGCACTATAAGGTGGGTAGAAAGTTGGCTAGATTGTCAGGCTCAACGGGTAGTGATCAATGGCTCCACGTCTAGTTGGCAGCCGGTGTCAAGTGGAGTGCCTCAGGGGTCGGTCCTGGGGCTGATTTTGTTCAATATCTTCATAAATGATCTGGAGGATGGTGTGGATTGCACTCTCAGCAAATTTGCGGATGATACTAAACTGGGAGGAGTGGTAGATATGTTGGAGGGCAGGGATAGGATACAGAGGGACCTAGACAAATTGGAGGATTGGGCCAAAAGAAATCTGATGAGGTTCAATAAGGATAAGTGCAGGGTCCTGCACTTAGGATGGAAGAACCCAATGCACAGCTACAGACTAGGGACCGAATGGCTCGGCAGCAGTTCTGCGGAAAAGGACCTAGGGGTGACAGTGGACGAGAAGCTGGATATGAGTCAGCAGTGTGCCCTTGTTGACAAGAAGGCCAATGGCATTTTGGGATGTATAAGTAGGGGCATTGCCAGCAGATCGAGGGACGTGATCGTTCCCCTCTATTCGACATTGGTGAGGCCTCATCTGGAGTACTGTGTCCAGTTTTGGGCCCCACACTACAAGAAGGATGTGGATAAATTGGAGAGAGTCCAGCGAAGGGCAACAAAAATGATTAGGGGTCTGGAACACATGACTTATGAGGAGAGGCTGAGGGAACTGGGATTGTTTAGTCTGCAGAAGAGAAGAATGAGGGGGGATTTGATAGCTGCTTTCAACTACCTGAGAGGTGGTTCCAGAGAGGGTGGTTCTAGACTATTCTCAGTGGTAGAAGAGGACAGAACGAGGAGTAATGGTCTCAAGTTGCAGTGGGGGAGGTTTAGGTTGGATATTAGGAAAAACTTCCTCACTAGGAGGGTGGTGAAACACTGGAATGCATTACCTAGGGAGGTGGCAGAATCTCCTTCCTTAGAAGTTTTTAAGGTCAGGCTTGACAAAGCCCTGGCTGGGATAATTTAATTGGGGATTGGTCCTGCTTTGAGCAGGGGGTTGGACTAGATGACCTCCTGAGGTCCCTTCCAACCCTGATATTCTATGATTCTATGACATGAGTTCCTAAGTACCTATGTGAATCTGGGCCTTTGTGTCTTTTCAGTTTAAAAAAAGCAGTCAGTGAGATATTTAATTGAGTTTAAACTTGTGACATCAGTCTGTAGTCCTGCTGATCAGCTATACTATGGGCTTAGTTTACATTTACAAGGTAAATACTATTTCCTCCATCATTCCTGGAAAGAAAGTATCAGAATTCACACTTAGTGTCTCAACGCTAAACCTCAGTTGGTGCTTACATCAGTATCAACCCACTGTCTGACATCCATTGGGGCTGCAGTCATATCATCTATTTTGTAGAGGATGTTGGTTGGTGCTTTCTCTGCCTGTCTGATTATCCCCATGATAACAACCTGCATTGAAAAAGAAACTGAGATCAGTTTACTTGGGAAAAACTTAGGACCAAAGAAGTTTAAGATTTAACACTTACACACCACCACCTTCTCTCCCACCCATTTGCACAACAAATACCTACTCAGCAGCATTTTTCACTTACCTGCGAGATCTCTACTTCTCGGATCTTGAATGTCTCATCAATCTGCTCAGCAGCAAGTAACTGAGACACTGTACATGGCACAATATTCTGGGATCGGGATCTCTGCAAAAGAGAATTTAAAAAAGACTGAAAATTTCACCTTTTGATCTTTGAAAAGAAAAAACAAAACTAGAAATTTTATTTTTCCACAAATTGTAAATACTGAAATACACTTTTTAAAGTCTTAAGTTAGGTACTAAAAGCACTTTTACCCAAAGAGTAAGACTGTGTCTCCATAACTTCTGTATGTTTCTTATGAAGTCAGCATAAACCAGTAACACTGTTGTGGTTAATTCTCAGCAAAGCACTTTAGATCATAAGAATATAAGACTAGCCCCACTGGGTCAGACCAAAGGTCCTGCTAGAATCATAGCGTTAGAAGGGACCACAAAGGTCATCTAGTGAGTCTAACTCCCTGCAGGATTTGTTGTCTAAACCATCCAAGACAGATGGCTATCCAGCCTCCTTTTGAAAACCTCCAGTGAAGGAGCTTCTACAACCTCCCTAGGCGTCTGTTCCATTGTCCTCCTGTTCTTACAGTTCAGAAATTTTTCCTGAGATTTAATCTAAATCTGCTATGCTGTAGATTGAACCCATTGCTTCTTGTCCTGCCCTCTGTGGCAAGAGAGAACAACTGTTCTTCATCGTTTTTATGGCAGTCTTTTAAGAATTTGAAGACTGCTATCATGTTCCCCCTCAATTTACTCTTTCCCTAACTAAACATACCCACTTTCTTCAGCCTTTGCTTATACGGCTTGCACTCCACCCCTCTGATCATCTTTGCTGCTCGCCTCTGGATCCTTTCCAGTTTCTCTACATGCTTTCTATACACTGGTGACCAAAACTGGACACAGCACTCCAGCTGAGGCCTAACTAGCCCTGAGTAGAGCAGTACTATCACCTCCTGTGATCTGCATGCTATGCCTCAGTTAATGCAGCCTAAAATTGCATTTGCTTTTTTTGCAACAGCATTGCATTGCTGACTCATGTTGAGACTGAGATGTTCAAGGTGATTTACAAATATTGAGGCCATGTCAGCATAATGATTTTTAACTGAGTCTGTGACCAGTTAGTGCCACAGGCAGCTCTAACCATGGTTTGAGTTCACTCACAAATTGATACCTTTAGGAATCACAACAGTTAAGTATGGGCTGCCCTTCCTAGTGGCCTAGGCTGGCACACGGTCGTCTTCCTCCTTCAAGTAATAACACTGGGTTTGTTTTTTACTACGTAGAAGGGACAGCCTAACTAAGTTTGCGTAACAGGGTTGTAACAGGCTGTCCTCCTCCTTCCTTACAGCTTTTCCTATGCACTCTTGGTATTGGTCCAGGTGCATGTCCTTCATGCTCCATTATCCTCTGCTGAGAACATATGGGATAGCTCTCCTAGTTTTCCCTGATACAAACACAGTAGGCAACATGGTAGGTGTTAAGACAAAGGAGTATTTTATACATTCTTTTGTTGGGGGGGGGGGAGAGGGATGCAGAGTGGACACAGCTCAGCCAGGTTTAGTGTAACCAGGTCAGTAGTCATAAAATGATGGTTGCAGCTATAGCACAGCTGTGAAGTTTAATTAAGCCACAATACCCTGTGAGTGAGGTAAATAGCTATTCTGCATGGGGAAACCAAAGTAGAGTATAAATTACTTGCCCAAACTCACAAAACAAATCAGTGGTAGCTCCTAGGCTACTGTACTCCTCCCATCACTGCTTCCCACCCAATTAAATGTTATATTGGGAAGTTTGTTCCTAACGCTGCACAATTTGTTCTGTGCTGGGGAGGTGTAGATAACCCTTCTCATTCTCATGACAGAAATGTAGAGACTAAAACTCCCCAGTATGACCAGGCACCTGTGGGCTAAACCCTACTCTCCCATTCTCAAATCCTTATCTGGATTAGGAAGCACCACATACCTGTTTCTTTTCTCCCTGGGTGGCTGCAGGAGATCCAAACCCCCCTGGGGACTGTGTGTATCCCCCACTAATTGCAGACCCTCCATAGCCACTCTCAAAGCCACCTGGGGAAGAGGGGAAAGAATCAGGGTTAATAACACAGTGCTGCCAACCCCAAATGTTCAAAAGCCATAAATTACACCCAAAAAAGTCAAGCAATTGGCTTAAAATTAGACAAAATATAGTAAGTTTGGGGGGGGTTATTTACATTATAATTTTTGAGCTTTTGGAGTCATAATTTCAGGTTTTTTCCAGCAACCGTGTCCACTAGAGGGAAAGCTGAGATTCTCACATGTTCACATAACTCCAGGAACTGGAGCTTTAAAAAAGCTCCGAATGTTATTCGACTTGTGATAAAACAGTGAGTGCTGGCACCACCGACAAATAACATGAGGCTCCACACTGGAGTTGAGGTGGTTCCATCAGGAGAGACAGGAAGATAACACTCCCCCCACCCCAAGCCTTGCTCCCCAGCCTCCTGTATTTTTAACCTGCACCCAAGTCCAAACCCCATCAAAGCTCAGAGGAGGGACCAGAAAGCTGAGCTCATGGGGATGCTGGGCAGCAGGCCATGGAGAGGAGCAGCAGCCTGGGCTCAGCCATCTGCAGGAACCTCACAAGGGAGAGACACATGCCTGCCAGCCCCACAACCAGGAGAGAGAGGAACCCACTACCTGCGCCACCACATCACCCCTCCTGCAGCCCACCACCCAACCTCATCACCCCCTGCCAGCTACTCCCCCACTTCATCACCCCATTCCCTCCCCATCTCACCTGCCAGCTCCTCGCACACTTCATCGCCCCAGCCCCTCCCCCACAACACCACCTCACTGCCCTTATACCCCCCCACCCCCTCCCCTCCCCCATGACACCACCTCACCGCCCTGATACCCCCCCCACCCCCTCCCCTCCCCCACGACACCACCTCACCGCCCTGATACCCCCCACCCCCTCCCCTCCCCCACGACACCACCTCACCGCCCTGATACCCCCCACCCCCTCCCCTCCCCCCCACGACACCACCTCACCGCCCTGATACCCCCCCACCCCCTCCCCTCCCCCACGACACCACCTCACCGCCCTGATACCCCCCCACCCCCTCCCCTCCCCCATGACACCACCTCACTGACCTGATACCCCCCCCCCCCCCCCCTCCCCTCCCCCACGACACCACCTCACCGCCCTGATACCCCCCACCCCCTCCCCTCCCCCACGACACCACCTCACCGCCCTGATACCCCCCCACCCCCTCCCCTCCCCCCACGACACCACCTCACCGCCCTGATACCCCCCCACCCCCTCCCCTCCCCCACGACACCACCTCACCGCCCTGATACCCCCCCCCCCCCCCCCCCCCACGACACCACCTCACCGCCCTGATACCCCCCCACCCCCTCCCCCACGACACCACCTCACCGCCCTGATACCCCCCCACCCCCTCCCCTCCCCCACGACACCACCTCACCGCCCTGATACCCCCCACCCCCTCCCCTCCCCCACGACACCACCTCACTGACCTGATACCCCCCCACCACCTCATCACCCCAGCCCCCGCCCCCTCCCCCCACGACACCACCCTGATACCCCCCCTCTTCACCCCCACCCCCTCCCCCCACGACACCACCTCACCGCCCTGATACCCCCCCCCACCTCATCGCCCCATTCCCGCCCCTCCCCCACGACACCACCTCACCGCCCTGATACCCCCCCACCGCCCCCTCCCCCCCCTCCCCTCCCCCACGACACCACCTCACCGCCCTGATACCCCCCACCCCCCCCCTCCCCTCCCCCACGACACCACCTCACCGCCCTGATACCCCCCACCCCCTCCCCTCCCCCCACGACACCACCTCACCGCCCTGATACCCCCCACCCCCACCCCACGACACCACCTCACCGCCCCGATACCCCCCCCCCACCTCATCGCCCCATTCCCGCCCCTCCCCCACGACACCACCTCACCGCGCTGCCAGCCCCTCCCCCGCCGCCTCCTCTCATCCCCCTGCCCGCCCGCCCCGCCTCACCGTGGCTGCTCCACATGGCGGGTGCCGCGGACTCCCCGCCAGACACGCTCGGCTCCTGCCCCAAACCGCGGCTCTGCGCGCCACAAGCAGCCACCCAGGCCGCGAGCCCGACACGCAGCGCGCGCAGCGCTCCGGCCAATCGGCTCCCACCGTGGCGGGGGTGGCGCAGGCGCAGTCCGCTCCTTCCGGTCGCCGCGGCCCCGGCGAGCGGCTGAGCCGCCGCCGCCATCTTTGCTGCGGGCGCTGCCCGCTCCGGCCCGCCAGACAAGCTCCGCCCCCGCCCTGGCCACGTGCCGGGCGCGCCGCGGGGTCCCCGGCGGCCGAGACGTCGCCTTGCGCTGCTGTCGTTAGGCTTCGGGGTTAACGTCGTCTCTCGTCCTACCCGCCACACGGCTCGGGCGCGAAACGGGGCCGGGCGCCGAGTCCCCGCCCACGGCCTGCGGACCAGAGAGCCTGGACTCCCCCCCCCCGGGAGCCCCACCCCCCGCTGTGTCCTGGGGGCGCCCCTCTGAGCACCCCCCATTCCCTGGGGGCCCCCACCCCCCCGCTGTGTCCTGGGGGCCCCCCTCTGAGCACCCCCCATTCCCTGGGGGCCCCCACCCCCCGCCGCGTCCTGGGGGCGCCCCTCTGAGCACCCCCCATTCCCTGGGGGCCCCCACCCCCCCGCTGTGTCCTGGGGGCCCCCCTCTGAGCACCCCCCATTCCCCGGGGGCCCCCACCCCCCGCTGTGTCCTGGGGGCGCCCCTCTGAGCACCCCCCCATTCCCCGGGAGCCCCCACCCCCCGCCGCGTCCTGGGGGCGCCCCTCTGAGCACCCCCCATTCCCTGGGGGCCCCCACCCCCCCGCTGTGTCCTGGGGGCGCCCCTCTGAGCACCCCCTATTCCCCGGGGACCCCCATCCCCCCGCTGCGTCCTGGGGGCCCCTCTGAGTACCCCCATTCCTCGAGAGCCAACAACCCCTGCCGGCGCCCTCTGAACACCCCCAACCCCGGGGGCCCCACCCCCTGCCACGTCCTGGGGGTGCCCCTCTGAGCACCCCCCCATTCCCCAGGGGCCCCACCCCCGCCGTGTCCTGGGGACGCCCCTCTGAGCACCCCCCCATTCCCCAGGAGCCCCACCCCCTGCCGCGTCCTGGGGGCGCCCCTCTGAGCACCCCCATTCCCTGGGGGCCCCCTCTGAGCACCCCCCATTCCCCGGAAGCCCCCACCCCCCACCGTGTCCTCGGGGTGCCCCTCTGAGCACCCCCTATTCCCCGGGGGCCCCCATCCCCCCGCTGCGTCCTGGGGGCGCCCTCTGAGTACCCCCCATTCCTCGAGAGCCAACAACCCCCGCCGGCGCCCCTCTGAACACCCCCAATTCCCTGGGGGCCCCACCCCCGCCGCATCCTGGGGACGCCCTCTGAGCACCCCCCATTCCCCAGGGGCCCCACCCCCGCCGCGTCCTGGGGACGCCCCTCTGAGCACCCCCCCATTCCCCGGGAGCCAACACCTCTCGCCGCTTCCTGGGGGCTCCCCTCTGAGTGCACCCCATTCCCCAGGAGCCCCCACCCACCCACCCGCTCATCCTGGGGCGCCCCTCTGAGCACCCCCATTCCTCGAGAGCCAACAACCCCCGCCTGTGCCCCTCTGAGCACCCCCAACCCCGGGGCCCCACCCCCCGCCGCGTCCTGGGGATGCCCTTCTGAGCACCCCCCATTCTCCGGGAGCCAACACCTCTCGCCGCTTCCTGGGGGCTCCCCTCTGAGTGCACCCCCCATTCCCCAGGAGCCCCCCACCCACCCGCTTCATCCTGGGGGCGCCCCTCTGAGCACCCCCCATTCCTGGGAGCCCCCACCCACCTGCTGCATCCCCTGGGAGCACCCACTTTTCCCTGGGAAGCAGCACCCATGCACTGCATCCTGGGGGCTCACCTGGGAGCAATGCCCTGCCTAACTGTTGAGAGTTTGGAACCACAGCTCAGCAATATGGGGGCAGTTACTCTGCTCCCTGGGGCTTCCCTCCATGCCATCCCCTTGTGAATTTGGAGGGCCTCAGGCCCAACAATTCCTTTTGGGATCTAGCCCCAGAAGCCATTTGGATCAGGGTACAGAGGAAGGGGACATCCCCCAGACCCCACCATGGTGCCCAGTCAGTTCCTGCCGTTCCCCCACTCCTGGTGGGCTGTTGGGGGCTATTCTGGCAATGAGCGGGTGCTGGAGCTGTATGGAGAGCTCAATGTAGCTATTTGGGAGCAGGGTTCAGGGCAGGGGGCGCGTAGCCTGGCTGTGTAACCGGTAACGGGCCTTCTCTCTACAGTGTTCTCGGGAGATGGGGGATGGTGCTGGGGCAGCAGGTGGACTGACCCTCCAGTGCGACTGTCGAGGCTGATTCCCCACTCTGGCACTTCGAGTGCAGAAGAGGGGGGCCTGCAAGGACTCTAAAACTTAATACTGGCCACTCCAGGCTTGTACTAAACCCCCAAGGTCACAGCTTTTCTCTGACCTTGGATTGGTAGATGCTGCCGCCGCCCAAGTGCAGAAACCCCGTTTTGAGAACCCAGGAAGGCGCACTTGGGAATTCCTCCCCGTGGGGTACCCTCAAGCCCTTTCACCCAGCCCCCACTGGGGAAGAGCTGAGAAAGAAATCAGCTGTTGCCACGAGCTAATTAAACAACGTGCACAAACCTCTTAAGACACAAAAATCCAATTGTGGTCTTAAAAAAGGTAAATTTTATTAATTAAGAAAAGAGAAAAAATACATCTGGGAACTCGCTCTTGCTAGATTTTAAAAGAGCAACTACAAGGATTAAGCACCAAGAATAGCTTTCTTGAGGCCCAGCTTAAAGGTTACAAGCAAAACAAAAGTACCTGGGGTTAGCACAGAGGAATCCACAAGCCAAAACAAAATAAAAGGAATAAACATAATCGTGTCTTCCTAGACATTTCCTGATCTACTCACATATCTGGGGTTTTAAATGAGTAGTTTCTAGGCATGATACTGATGATTTTTCATACCTGACTAAAGTTTCTTACAGCATAGCTACCCTGTCTGCCTCTCCCCAGGAGAACAACCCCAGACAGACAAAAGGGGAGTCTTGTTTCAATTTTAAAAAGTTCTGGCCTTCCCATTGGCTCTTTTGGCCAGGTGCCCACTCCCTTCCTTTTTCCTATGCATCGCAGTGAGACTGTTTAACCCTTTACAGGTAGAGCAATGAGAGAACAGCTACTAAGAGGGACTTTCAGAGTAGCAGCCGAGTTAGTCTGTATCTGCAGACATATTGAATCTATTTCCCTGTGCTCAGTATCCTCACACCTTCTTGTCAACTGTCTAAATGGGCCATCCTGATTATCACTATGAAAGTTTTTTCTCGTGCTGATAATAGCTCATCTTAATTAATTAGTCTCTTACAGTTTGTATGACAACTTCCACCTTCTCTGTATGTGTGTGTGTATATATATATAATCTTACTATATGTTCCATTCTATGTATCCAATGAAGTCGATTTTAGCCCATGAAAGCTTATGTCTAATAAATGTGTTCGTCGCTAAGGTGCCACAAGTACTCCTGTTCTTTTTAAGAGGGACTTTATAGCTATTGGCTGGCTGGGTGTCCATAAAAGTGAACCCCCCCCACCATTTATCAGAACAGTCTGTGAGGTGGTGGGTTTGGTAGGGCTGCTGGCTGATTTATTTCTCTCCACTTGGAATAATACAGCTCATACGTATGGGGAAAAATATTTCAGGCAAAGGATGGGAGGAAACTGGGAAGCAGGACCAGCTGCGAGAGCCCTGGACTAGGAGTGCACGGCGAACTAGGCAAGACTTTGCAGTGTGGTGTGGTAGCTCCTGTGATTTTGGGTGTCACCTGCACAGAAGGGTCATGGAATGGAGCAAGGAGGTGATATGTCCTTTCTGTGAAGGACTGGAGCAACAACATCCTGAACTCTGCATGCCGTTCCAGGCACCTGCCCCCAGAAAGGTTCCAACAAAGTAGAACAAATTCTGAGAAAAGCAACAAAAGTGATGAGGTGGGAAGGGAGTGGTGTGTGACGGAAGAGAAGAGCTAAGCGTCCTGAGCCTGGCTACCAGGTGAGCAAACAGGCCACCTGAAATCTGCACTGCAGGTAGGTCTTTGAGATAGCTAAATATTCAGACCCCAAGAGGGGAATTCACCCCTGCACTGTGCCTCCTTTTTGCTGACTTAAGCAGCCGAAAGAGGCCAGGAGGCCTCCCTGGAGAATGCCACCAGCTCAGAGGTTCACCTGTAGAATCATAGAATCATAGAATATCAGGGTTGGAAGGGACCTCAGAAGGTCATCTAGTCCAACCCCCTGCTCAAAGCAGGACCGATCCCCGACTAAATCATCCCAGCCAGGGCTTTGTCAAGCCTGACCTTAAAAACTTCTAAGGAAGGAGATTCCACCACCTTTCTAGGTAACGCATTCCAGTGTTTCACCACCCTTGTCGTGAAAAAGTTTTTCCTAATATCCAACCTAAATCTCCCCCACTGCAACTTGAGACCATTACTCCTTGTTCTATCATCTGCTACCACTGAGAACAGTCTAGAGCCATCCTCTTTGGAACCCCCTTTCAGGTAGTTGAAAGCAGCTATCAAATCCCCCCTCATTCTTCTCTTCTGAAGACTAAACATCCCCAGTTCCTGCAGCCTCTCCTCATAAGTCATGTGTTCCAGTCCCCTAATCATTTTTGTTGCCCTCCGCTGGACTCTTTCCAATTTTTCCACATCCTTCTTGCAGTGTGGGGCCCAAAACTGGACACAGTACTCCAGATGAGGCCTCACCAATGTCAAATAGAGGGGAACAATCACGTCCCTTGATCTGCTGGCAATGCCCCTACATATACATCCCAAAATGCCATTGGCCTTCTTGTCAACAAGGGCACACTGTTGACTCATATCCAGCTTCTCGTCCACTGTAACCCCTACGTCCTTTTCTGCAGAACTGCTGCCGAGCCATTCAGTCCGTAGTCTGTAGCGGTGCATTGGATTCTTCCATCCTAAGTGCAGGACTCTGCACTTGTCCTTGTTGAACCTCATCAGATTTCTTTTGGCCCAATCCTCCAATTTGTCTAGGTCCCTCTGTATCCTATCCCTGCCCTCCAGCGTATCTACCTCTCCTCCCAGTTTAGTGTCATCTGCAAACTTGCTGAGAGTGCAATTCACACCACCCTCCAGATCATTTATGAAGATATTGAACAAAACTGGCCCCAGGACCGACCCCTGAGGCACTCCACTTGATACCGGAAGCCAACTAGACATGGAGCCATTGATCACTACCCATTGAGCTTGACGATCTAGCCAGCTTTCTATCCACCTTATAGTCCATTCATCCAGCCCATACTTCTTTAATTTGCTGGGAAGAGTACTGTGGGAAAATACTGTGGGAGAATACTGTAGTTCACCCTTGCCTATGCCAGGGATTGAATTGGCCCCCTATAAGCTGCTGAGTGGGGCAATGCAAGGCACCACTCCTCTGTCCCTGCGTGGGTGCTACGGCCTGTCTGGTGAATGTCCGCAAGGGGGTAGCTAACATACTAGGAGGAAATAGAGCAAAGTGAGCGTTCAGTTAAACATGATCAAACAGCCCCCCTCTCCCTGCATGGACTCCCAGCAGCAGCAGTGCCCAGACTTGATTGCAAGTGACCCGCCATTGGCTGAGAACGTCTTTCTTGAGGCAAGCTGAAGTTGCTCCCACTTCGCACATTGCCACAGAGTCAGGTGAGGTAACAACGTCCTGGGATTGGTTCTCTTCTCTGCAGCGAAGTGGGTAATTAGTCAGAAGCAGCTGGCAGAGCTCTTTGTCCCAGATGGATTCCTGGAGATTCTTGCTGCTTCTAATGTGCTGCAGGATTGTGACTGCTGCCACCGTCCAAGGTAACAGCCTCCTTGAGCTTCCTGTGGCCGCCTGGTTGCTCTAGACTGGGGGAAAGCCTGCTTCTTCCAAGGGGAGCTTTGCCATAACATGATTTCTAAACTAAACTTGGCTTGCTCACATCTCTTTAAACAGGCTGCAAGATATGAACGTACCCACGGCTTCTGGGGCAGTGCATGGCTGGCTCTCTTTGCATTCATGAGGTTTATTTCCATCTGGCCACTGACATAAGATTGTGTTGAGACGTCCCCTGTCTCGAGGCACAGGCAGAAAGCATTGGGCTAGGCAGGATGGCAGAGAGCTGGGCCCTGCCCCTGTTACTGGAAAAACATGTCAAACTTAAGAAAAGGCACACTTCTGTACTTGTTCCCTGTGTATCTACTATCCGAGCAACCCCCAAGTTACCCCCAAAGTGACAGAGATTAGGGGGCAAAGGCCTTCTCTGTCCAGTTTGTTCATGTGGTCTATTTGGTAGCATAGTGGGGCTGGTGGCTAAGGCAGCTGGTTTTGTGTGTGTGTGTGTTTTCCACTGGGCAATAAGGGAGAGAATATTTAAAAAAACAGGAAAATGAGATTGTAAAAAAGATTGTTTTAAAAACAAACAAGCTATTGGCAGGGTCCTTGGGGCTGGGGGAGAGGCCTGGAACAACCTAACTCAGTAATTAGACTGCAAGCTAACAGTGTTCCTTTAATTGGGTTGGGTTTAGGCACCATATGTCGACTCCAGCCGATAACAGACACGCACTCTGCCCTGAGGAATGTGAAATCCAAGTGTAGTCGTAACTCAAGAGACGGGGTTAGGGTGGGGGAAGGGATGGCGAGGTGTATAGCTGTGTGTGGTTATGGGACTGCTCTGAATTGCTATGGCCAGTGATGAGCTGCCAAAATCTTAACAACCGTCTCCCTTCTCACCCCACGAGGGGGTCGTGGCCCGCCCCCGCCCCCGGGACTCCTGCCCCATCCAACCCCCCACATTCCTTGACGGCTCCCCCGTCCCAGAACCCCTGCCCCATCCACCCCTGTCCCCTGACTGCCCCCAGAACCGGGCAGGAGGGTCTTGTGGGCCACCGTAGTGGGTGCCCACCCCGCCCTGCCCCTAAGAGCCAGAAGGACCTGCCGGGGGGCGAGGTGGGGAGTCCCGGCGGTGCTTACCTGGGGCGGCTCCCAGGAAGCGTCCGGCAGGTTCCTCTGGCTCCTAGAGGTGGGGTAGCGTAGCTGGGGGGGAGCAGGGGGAGCGGCCGCTCCCCCCACTGATCACATCAAAAGTGGCGCCTTAGGCGCCGACTCCCTGGGTCCTCCAGGGCTGGAGCCCCCACGGGGAAAATTTGGTGGGTGCAGAGCCCCCACCGGCAGCTCCCCGCCCCGCGCCCAGCCCCAGCTCACCTCCGCTCTGCCTCCTGTCCTGAACCCACTGCCCTGCTCTGCTTCTCCGCCCCCCCCCCCCGCCTTCCCGCGAATCAGCTGTTCGGCGGGAAGCCTGGGAGGGCTGAGAAGCAGGCGTTGGCTTCGCGCTCAGGCCCAGGGTGGCGGAGGTGAGCTGGGGCGGGGAGCGGGTCCCCTGCGCCCCCCGCCCAAGGTTACCTGCTGCGGCGCAGGTGACCCTCCTCGCCCCCTTCTCCCCAGCTCCCCTCCCCTCCGCCTCCCTGGGCCTGAGCGCGAAGCCGCCCCCTGCTTCTCAGCCCCCCGGCTTCCCGCGCCAACAGCTGATTCGCGGGAAGCGGTGGGGGGGGGGCGGAGAAGCAGAGCAGGGTGGAGCGTAAATCAGGGGTGCAAGCGGAGCAGAGGTGAGCTGGGAGTGGGGCGGGGAGCTGCCGGTGGGTGCTCTGCACCCACCAAATTCTCCCCATGGGTGCTCCAGCCCCAACCACTTTTGGCCCGTTGTTACATTTAGAAACCTTTTTAGAACCGGTTGTCCCTCGCGGTTCTAAAAGGGCTTCTAAATGTAACAACTGGTTCCAGCACACCGGCTCCAGCTCCCCACTGGCCATGGCCTCCCTGAGAGTGCTTGTTTGTAATCTGTAGCTGTATTAAATGCACCTCACAGTTGGAGCTTTAAAGGAGGCAATGCGCCTTGTGCTAAAATTCTGCCCTTCCAAGTGTGAGGCCCCTGCGTGGTTGCAGTGAAGTCAAGGATCCCTGGCCTATTCCAGCTGCACATTCAGCGCTGCAGATCCAGTGAGGAGCAGAACTTGCTCCCCACAACTTGCATCATGCACAGATCCCGGACACAAGTCCATGGCGCATGGCCAGGTTTCTCAGCCAGGGCCGGCTCCTAGTGCTTGAGAAACACTCTGCTTGTATCCTGCCCTGTTGCTAAACAAGTTCACTGAATTGGGGGTCATCTCCTCCCCAGCAAATCTGAGTGAGACAGGCCAGAAATTTGCCCTGAGCAGCCTCTTTCTAGATGATGTCCTGCTGTTCTCTCACACTGAGGATACCCCTCTGGGGGAGGGGACCCCACTTATTAGGAAGAGACAAGTAATAGTAGTGGGGAATCCAGTTATTAGAAATACAGATAGTTGTGTTTGGATGACCAGGAGAACCGCATGGTGAATTCCCTGCTAGATGCAAAGCTTGAAGATTCTTGAGACATCTAGATAGACTTATGTGCAGTGCTGGGGAGGAGCCAGTGGTCATGACATGTAGGTACCATAGGAGAAAGGTCCTGGAGGCCAAATTTAGGCTGCTAGGAAAGAGATTGAAGTCCAGGACTTCCCTAGTGGTATTCTCTGAAATGCTTCCACTTCCACTCATAGGGCCAGTTAGACAGGCAGCACTGCAAGATCTCAATGTGTGGGTGAGATGATGGTGTTTAGAGGAGGGGTTTATGTTTATTTGGAACTGGGGAACCTTTAGGGAAAGGAGGAGCACCGAACTACAGGCCTTAACCTGCTGGGTGATGGATGTGCTACCAACAGAGAAACATGTCACAGTCAGCCCTGCTCCAGCCTGTCAGCCATCCTGGAAATACTGTACACCAGAACTCTGGGGACTCTGCTGCTGCTGGGACATTGGAATCTCATAAGAACGGCCATACTGGGTCCAACCACTGGTCCACATAGCTCAGTAGCCTATCTTCCGACGGTGGCCAGAGCCAGATGCTTCAGGGAGAGTGAACAGAACAGGGCAATTTATCGAGTGATCCGTCCCGTGGTGTCCACTCCCAGCATCTGGCAGTCAGAGGCTTAGGGACACCCACAGCATGGGGCTGTGTCCCTGACCATCTTGGATAATAGATATCGATGGACTTATCCTTCATGAACTTCTCTCATTCTTTTTAGAAGCCGGTTATACTTTTGGCCTTCACAACATCCCCTTGGCAACAAGTTTCCCAGGTTGACAGTGCACTCTGTGAAGTACTTGCTTTTGTTTGTTTTAAACCTGCTGTCTGTTAATTTCACTGGGTGATCACTGGGTCATATCCTATGTTATGTAATGTGAAGGGATAAATAACGCTTCCTTATTCATTTTCTCCACCCCAGTCATGATTGTATAGACCCCTGTCCTATCTCCCCTCTGTCATCTCTTTTCCAAGCTGGACAGTCCCCGTCTTTTTAATCTCTTTTCATGTGGAAGCTGTTACACAGCCCTTATGATGTTTTGTTGCCTTTCTCTGTATCTTTTCCAGTTCTAATCTATCTTTTTTTTTTTTTTTTTTTTTTTTTTGAGATGGGGCTGACCAGAACTGCATGCAGTATTCAAGATGTGGGCATACCACTGATTTATATATTGGCATTATGATATTTTCTGTCTTATTTTCTATCCCTTTCCTAATGGTTTCTCACTTTCTGTTAGCTTTTTTTGACTGCCACAGCCTATTGAGCAGATGTTTTCAGAGAACTATTCATGATGACGTTAAGATCTCTTTCTTGAGTGGTAACAGCTAATTTAGACCCCATTGTTTTGTATGTATAGCTGGGATTACATTTTCCATTGTGCATTCTTACTTTTCATTTATCAACACTGAATTAAATCTGCCATTTCCTTCCCTGGTTACCCACTTTTGTGAGATTTCTTCGTAAATCTTCACAGTCTACTTTGGATTTAACAATTTTGAGTAATTTGGTATCGGCTGCAACCTTGCCACCTCACTGTTTCCCCCTTTTCCAGATCATTTATGAACATGTTGAACAGCACAGGTCCCAGGACAGATCATTGGGGGACCCTGGTATTTACCTCTCTCTGCTATGAAAACTGACCATTTATTCCCACTGTTTGGTTCAGCTTTGTTTGTAACCAGTTATGATCCATGAGATTGCCTTCCCTCTTGTCCCCTGCCAAAGGCTCTTGGGCAAAGTAAGGAGTCATGGGATATCATCAAAGGCTTTTTGAAAGTCCAAATACACAGTATCCACTGGATCACCCTTATCCCTGTTTTCTGGTCAGTTCAAAGAATTCAAATAGACTGAGGCATGATTTCCATTTACAAAAGTCATGTTGACTCTTTACCAACAAATCATGTTCATCTATATGTCTGATCATTCTGTTCTTTACAATAATTTCAACCAATCTACCTGGTACTGAAGCTAGGCTTCCTGGCCTGTAATTGCCAGGTTGCCTCTGGAGCCTTTTTTAAAAATCAGCCTTAATTAGCTATTCTCCAGTCTCCAGAGGCCGATTTAAGTGTCGGTTACATACCACAGTTAGCAGTTCTCAGGACCGGCTCTAGGCACCAGCAAAGCAAGCACGTGCTTGGGGAGGCACAATTCCAGGGGCGGCGTCCAGCCACCCGTGGGCAGTTGTGCTCTCGGAGCTTGGGGCGGCAAAAAACCTAGAGCTGGCCCTGATAGCTCTGCAATTTCATATCTGAGTTCCTTCAGAACCCTTGGGTGAATACATCTGGTCCTGGTGACTTATTACTGTTTATCAATTTGTACCCAAACCTCCTCTATTGACACCGCAATCAAGGACAGTTCCTCAGATTTGTCACTTAAAAAGAACGGCTCAGGTGTGAGACTCTCTGCAGTGAAGACCAATGCAAAGAATTCATTTAGCTTCATCCGCAATGGCCTAGTCTTCCCTGAGTGCTTCTTTGTCTAGTGGCCCCACTGATACATCTAAGATTTTGACTATATTGACTGTACGCTTTCTTTCACATATAGTGCCACTCCCTCACCAGCATGACTTACTCTGTCGTTCCGATATGTTTTGTACCCTGGTGTTACTGTGTCCCATTGATTATCAGCATTCCACCAAAGTTTCTGTAATGCCTATTATATCCATATCCTCATTTAATGCCAGGCACTCAAGTGCACTCATCATAGTATTTAAACTTCTTGTATCTGTAGACAAGCACTTACAAGATTTGTCAGTCTTAAGTTGTCTGCCTTTATGTGATGTAGCGATGGGACTTTTTTCAGTTCCTACCTGTACTTTATCAACTTCTATCCTCTCTTTGCGAGGATGTAGAGAATCCCCTTTAATAAAACCTCCCCTAAGGGATGTCTCTGTCTGAACCATGTGCTTCTCCACACTCACTAGCTTTCCCCCAGCCCTTAGTTTAAACACACGTCTATGACCTTTTCCATTTTATATGCCACCAGTCTGGTCCTGTTTTGGTTTAGATGGAGCCCATCCTTTCTGAATAGAGGCAGGGTCAGTCAAAAGCTCACCTGTAGCTGATGGAGCCCAGAACTCACTTGCCATCTGCAGTATGACTTAAACCAGAGCTCAGTCCTTTCCAGATACTAGTCTGGGAATGGGGTTCTTGTGCGTGCGTAGAGTAAACAAGTGCTCAGCTGCTGCAAGAGCTCAGGGAGTCAGGGAAATGGCTCCCCTCAGAGAGAAGATCAAGTCAGAACTAAACTCTTCCCCTGAAATGCTACTCAGCAGACAGCCAGGCCAGGCTAATGTTTTGTAAATGGAGGGCAGGGGCTCCGCTTCACTGCTACAACCAAGAGGAGCAAAAACCAGAAGGGGGCCCATAGAAAGGGGATTGCTGGCTCTATGGCCTGCTCCTCCATTCTCCCACTCCACTAAACTGCAGCTGCTCCTTTGTGGATTCCACTGGGGGATGGGGTCTTGGCAGCAGGAGGTGGATGCGGCCACGGGGTCAAAAAGCATTGTGGAGCAAAGAGCTTCAGCTTGGAAAGTGCTGGCTTCCCCAGAACCCCTATGTGCAGAGAACACAATAAAGAATCGCAGGAGGAGTCACTTTCCTCCAGCACTGAACAAGGAACTTGATTAGCGTAAGGACAACCATCATCTCCCTGCAGTTGCCTGGCATCTGTCTGTTCCTGCTTCAGCAGGCAGCTCCTGCCTGAAAACTTCCTTGCCCTTGTCTTGTTGCAGATTTTAAAGAAACCGTTCACTCACCCTTGCAGAACCCAGGGCAGCTGTTCCAGGGGAAGGGCCCAGCCGAAACGCTGCCAGCTTGACAGCGTCTGTGACAGCACCTTTAGAGATCTCCCGCTGCTGCGCTGCCAGGATGGCTGTGCCATCTGCCCAGAGCAGTGGTGACTAACAGCCCCCGAGCTCCGTCTGCAGGAGGCTCCCCCACAGCACCGGTGCAGAGGGTTTGACAGGTCTGCACTGCCCCTGAAGAAGGGGCGAAGGCACTGCACAGGAGGTTGCAGTTAAGAAAACCCCAAATCCTCTCTGGGTCTCCCACTGACCGAGGGCTTGTTCCACCAACACAGCACCATTCAGCAAAGCCTCTCCTGCAGACACCAAGCAACAACAGGGAGATGTCCACAGGGCAGCTTTTCTGTCCTGGGGAGCAACCCCCATCTCTCCCTCTTCCAGATTGCTCAGTTCAGGCAGGCTCCTTGCTTTGATTCTGACCCTAGCCGTGCTTTAACCCCAGCTGAGATTTAGCTGCCCAAAATCCAAGTTCTGCACTCTGGCTTGGCCAGGGGTTCTACTAGGGTAGTGTGGCCACATGCTGGGGTCTGCTTTTGGAAACCGTCACACTGATAATAATTCTATTAATCATTTGCTTGACTGTAGTATGGGGTCTTATGGTGGAAGTAGAAGCCTCCAACCCTCTCATGATGCAGCACTGCTGAGTTTATTGAAGACACAAGGCATGTTTAACTTTCAGGTAGGGATTACCTAGGTCAGGGATTGTCTACCCACTGCAGGTATATTGTCTTGTTAGCTCTAACAGACCCTCAGTCTCTGCAGCTGTGTGCACTGAGTGGTTAGTTTGAATTGCACTGCCCAGCAGTGTGTGTTTGGACCGTGCTGTATAGTATTATCTTGTCTGTCTATGGTACTTACTGCACTGATGGGGGCCAGGTATCTGAATACCTAACACTCTGTACTGTATTTACCCCCGGGACACAGGTCACTGCTATTATCCCCTTGTTACAGATGGGAACTGAGGCTTGGAGAGACTACGTGACTTACCCCAGGTCGCACAGGAAGTCTGTGGCAGAGGAGGGAATTGCAGACAGGTCTCCCAACTCCCAGGCCAGAGCCCTCCCCACTGAGCCTCTACTGCGGGCTTGGAAGTTATGTCAGTAAACTTCCCACATGGACGCTGGTTTGGGAATACCAGTATCTGCAAAGGGAATGATTCCAATCGAAATCTAGCTGTATAATGCTCTCTGACCTCATGGCTTCCCAGCTGGCACAGCTACTTCCGGTGTTTGATTGCACTGCATGGTGGTGTTTGTTCTGTCTTTGGCAGGTCACTTTTGGCATATCACAGACCTCCATTTGGACCCAGAATACAGCGTGGCAACAGACCCTCTCCAGGTGTGTCCGTCTGCTGGCTCCCAGCCAGTGTCCGATGCAGGCACATGGGGAAATTACATGTGTGATTCTCCTTGGATTCTCATAAACTCCTCCATTTATGCCATGAAGGAGATCCTGCCTGATCCAGACTTCATCCTTTGGACTGGGTAAGGAGTCCATCCATGCATAGCAGTGAAAGATAGGGCTTATCATGTGATCATGCCCTATGAATGTTGTGATTAGGTGTCATGTGCAGAAACACTTTGAATTCTACTCACAGTGCACATGAGCACCTTCAGGTAATAGCTGCTACTCTGCAATTAGCAAATGTGTGGCTGCAGAGAGAGCCCCCACTCAGTTACAGAGGAATCTGATCCACTATTGCCAGTCTCAAGTGCTCCCAAATTATAGGAACACAGGCCAGGAAGGGACCTCCAGGTCATCAGATCTAGTCTCCTTCTATCATCATATCATCCCGTTCATAAACTTATCAAGCTCCCTCTTCAAACTAGTAAGGTTTCTCGCTCTCTCTGCTCCTATTGGGAGGCTGTTCCAGAGCCTCATTCCTGTAATGTTTAGAAACGGTCTTCCAATTTCCAGCCTAAATATATTCATGACCAATTTATACCCATTTGTTGTTCCAACATTGTCTTCTAGCTCAAATAGCTCTTGGACCAGATCCTCAAAGGCATTTCAACACCTAACTTGCAGTGGGTGTTAGCCACCTAAATACCTTTTGGACCCTTCTCCCTCCCTGGCATTTACCCCCTAATGTATTTCTAGAGAGCAGTACGGATCCCTTTCAGCCTTCATGTTGCTAGGTTAAACAAGCCAAGCTCTTCTAGTCTCTTGTTGTAACACAGGCTCTCCATTTGCCTGATCATCCTAGTAGCCCTTCTCTGCTCCTGTTCCAGGTTCTTAAACCCATATTTCTTTCTTGAGTGTGGCTGACCAGAGCTGCACACAGAATCCCAGATGTCTTGCACAGTGGCATTATGAGTCAACCCCATTTAAATCATGAAACTGGCTTTAAAATAATGAGATTTAAAAGATGATAAAGTTGGGGGGAGAGGGAGAGTTAGATGCAATCGGTCGTTGAGGGGTCCATAGCCATGAGAGCTAGAAACTTCTGTGTTAAAGAACTGAAAATGGAGATTCCCACATAATCACAAGACTCCAGAAGCTGGGGCTTTAAGAAAAAGACACTGCTTATCCATTTATTTCTCCTAATTATTTGTAGAATGGCCATTCCTGCAGCATGCCTCAGTAGTCCAGAGCTCCCAGCAGTGTTGGTAGAAGGTACAGGCTGGGCTGGGACAATGGTTAGGGAAGAGTGAACCTCAAAACTGTATTTGGAGGCTATTCTGGGGTCCTGCTACAGTATCCACTTGGGATTTGGACATGCTTGCAATGTGAGACCTGTGCTGAGCTGGGGAGCAAGGGCAGCAGCATCCCAAGACAGAGGAGATATGTGGCCTTGCTCCCAAGCTGCTGCAGCAGCTGCATGCACAATATAGGGGAGACAAGGATAAAGAAGCAGAAGTTGCTGTCCTCACTAATGAAGAAGCTGCTAAATATGGCCAGCCTTTCCCAAGTTCTCCCTTGTGTATCATTGGGGACATTTCAACTACCTAGGAGTAAGGCATGTGTTGCTGTCAGACACTTCTTCTCAGGCAGGAAGGAGTGCTCCTTTGCAGGTTCCTCTGGTTCGAGATAACTAATTCTGGAGCCTTCGGTGGGTATTTAAACAATAGCCTTTATTCTAGAAGTGAAACCATCCACACTGGAGCTGTGTGGGTCAGGCAGAGTCACAGTGGGGCAGCCTGGCTAGCAGATATCTCCTGGCCAGATAGCACCAGAGAACTGGTAACATATACAGTGTATGTATTAACAATTGACCAATCGTTACAGAGCACGAAGGAGTTATTGTTAATCTAGTTACCTAACAACTCAGGAACCTGCTGCTGGCGGAGTCCGACTAGTACCCCGCCACAAATCATAACCAGACCCCTGCACCTCAGGCCAGGAGTCCCTTCTGCACACAGGCAGTTCCACAGCGGTCACGCAGTGGGCACCATGACTGACAGCCCCTAGGCTGCACTCGCTCTCCTGGCCCGATGCCGTTAGCAGAGTCATTGGAGCGTAGAGCTGTGCACTGTTCAAGGCACCAGAATAAGGGTTTGCAAACAGCTTTGTGCCCCTTGCTATGACACGAAAGAAGAGTCTGGGAGACTTGGTTTGAAAAGGGGCCGTTTGACATGGATTCACCAAGGGAAGGTCATGCCTGACTAATCTAATCGCCTTCTATGATGAGATTACTGGTTCTGTGGATGAAGGGAAAGCAGTGGATGTATTGTTTCTTGACTTTAGCAAAGCTTTTGACACGGTCTCCCACAGTATTCTTGTCAGCAAGTTAAAGAAGTATGGGCTGGATGAATGCACTATAAGGTGGGTAGAAAGTTGGCTAGATTGTCGGGCTCAATGGGTAGTGATCAATGGCTCCATGTCTAGTTGGCAGCCGGTGTCAAGTGGAGTGCCCCAGGGGTCGGTCCTGGGGCCGGTTTTGTTCAATATCTTCATAAATGATCTGGAGGATGGTTTGGATTGCACTCTCCACAAATTTGCGGATGATACTAAACTAGGAGGAGTGGTAGATATGCTGGAGGGCAGGGATAGGATACAGAGGGACCTAGACAAATTGGAGGATTGGGCCAAAAGAAATCTGATGAGGTTCAATAAGGATAAGTGCAGAGTCCTGCACTTAGGATGGAAGAATCCAATGCACCACTACAGACTAGGGACCGAATGGCTAGGCAGCAGTTCTGCGGAAAAGGACCTAGGGGTGACAGTGGACGAGAAGCTGGATATGAGCCAGCAGTGTGCCCTTGTTGCCAAGAAGGCCAATGGCATTTTGGGATGTATAAGTAGGGGCATAGCGAGCAGATCGAGGGACGTGATCGTCCCCCTCTATTCGACATTGGTGAGGCCTCATCTGGAGTACTGTGTCCAGTTTTGGGCCCCACACTACAAGAAGGACGTGGATAAATTGGAGAGAGTCCAGCAAAGGGCAACAAAAATGATTAGGGGTCTGGAACACATGAGTTATGAGGAGAGGCTGAGGGAACTGGGATTGTTTAGTCTGCAGAAAAGAAGAATGAGGGGGGATTTGATAGCTGCTTTCAACTACCTGAGAGGTAGTTCCAGAGAGGATGGTTCTAGACTATTCTCAGTGGTGGAAGAGGACAGGACAAGGAGTAATGATCTCAAGTTGCAGTGGGGGAGGTTCAGGTTGGATATTAGGAAAAACTTTTTCACTAGGAGGGTGGTGAAACACTGGAATGCGTTACCTAGGGAGGGTGGAATCTCCTTCCTTAGACGTTTTTAAGGTCAGGCTTGACAAAGCCCTGGCTGGGATGATTTAATTGGGTATGGGTCCTGCTTTTGAGCAGGGGGTTGGACTAAATGACCTCCTGAGGTCCCTTCCAACCCTGATATTCTATGATTCTATGACATATGGGGAATGTCATGTCTGCTCTCCGGTTCTGCCAGAGGTCCTTCTTGGAGCACCCAGAGAGCAGAGTTGGGAGCCCTTGATTAAAGAGGTGGGAGTTTGCATCTCTAACAAATGGGCTTTTCTCCAGCTGTGCAGGCAGGCAGGTGCGTTACAAACAAAGAGCTTTATTTCCCCTCAGTTAATCAGGGTTTATTCTCTTGGTATGTGTAACTCATAACCTCATGGCATCTTCCAGAAACAACAGAGTATAGCCAGACCCAGATTTCTAATGTAAAAAGAAAAAGCTGAACAAAATGGAACAGACTCTTGCCCTGAACAGTTCCCCAAATGTTCACGTGAAATCACACCCCCATGCTAGGCGTAAGTTACCTACAGGCTGCCTTTTCTATTGTGTGTGCAGGTGCTTTCCTGAGACAAGGTGAGTGAGGAAGTAGCTTTTACACCTATCCACCTTGACTCTCTAGTATCCTGGGACTGACATGGTTATCACGACTCTGCATACAGACTCTTCCCTTTCAGACTGCTAGCTGCATGTGATGTTTGTGCTGTTTTCCAGTGACGATACCCCTCATGTCCCCAATGAGAAACTTGGAGAAGAAGCAGTGCTGGAAATAATTGCCAATTTGACTGCTCTGATAAAACGGGCGTTTCCAGGTACGATTCACCTGAGCTGACAAACCAAGAAGGTGGCAGTGCAGAGAATATCTGACCCAGCATCCCACTGGCAGGAAAGACCAGCTCAGCCAGATAGAGATGGCAGATCTAGAGAAGGGGCAGTCATCTAAGGGGTCAAGAAATCTAGCATACTTGGGATATGAGGGCATATTTGTCCCCCTTCCTATGATTTATAAACTCTACGCCTGGGAGGGGTGGAGGGGGTCCAGAACACCCTTATGGTCTCTGATTAGCTTCACTCTTGAAGGGGCAACACACTGCAAGGGGGAAGTTTGGAATAGCAGCAGCCTTTGAATAATTCATGGTGGAAAAAACCATTGGAAACCTCCTCTCCTGCTTGAACATCTCAGCAATGGGGAGAAGGAATTATCCCAACACTGGGGCCGGACCCACCAGATCAGTGGAGAGATGCTGGCCCAGCACTGGAATGCCCCAGCAAAGTACATCAAGCCCATAATTGAACTGTGTCTATGGAAAACCAAACGTGGATCATTCCTCAGAGGGGCCACGGCTGCCCACTTGAGAAACCTAGTGCAAAAGGAAAGGAGGACTTGTGGCACCTTAGAGACTAACAAATTTATTTGAGCATAAGCTTTTGTGGGCTACAGCTCACTTCATCAGATGCATGCAGTGGAAAATACAGTGGGGAGATTTTATATAAACGGAGAACATGAAACAATGGGTGTTGCCATACACACTGTAACAAGAGTGATCAGGTAAGGTGAGCTATTACCAGCAGGAGAGGAAAAAAACAAAAACCTTTTGTAGTGATCAAGATGGGCCATTTCCAGCAGTTGACAAGAACGTGTGAGGAACGGGGGGGTGGGTGGGTGGGTGGGAAGAATAAACATGGAGAAATGGTTTTACTTCCAGTCTTTATTCAAGCCTAAGTTAATGGTGTCCAGTTTGCAAATTAATTCCAATTCAGCAGTCTCTCGTTGGAGTCTGTTTTTTGAAGTTTTTTTTGTTGAAGAATTGCCACTTTTAGGTCTGTAATCGAGAGACCACAGAGATTGAAGTGTTCTCCGACTGGTTTTTGAATGTTATAATTCTTGACGTCTGCTTTGTGTCCATTTATTCTTTTACGTAGAGACTGTCCAGTTTGGCCAATGTACATTGCTGGCACATGATGGCATATATCAGATTGGTAGATGTGCAGGGGAACGAGCCTCTGATGGTGTGGCGGATGTGATTAGGCCCTATGATGGTGTCCCCTGAATAGATATGTGGACACAGTTGGCAACGGGCTTTGTTGCAAGGATAGGTTCCTGGGTTAGTGTTTTTGTTCTGTGGTGTGTGGTTGCTGGTGAGTATTTGCTTCAGGTTGGTTGCTGTCTAATCACATCAGCCACACTATCAGAGGCTCGTTCACCTGCACATCTACCATCATGTGCCAGCAATGCCCCTCTGCCATGTACATTGGCCAAACTGGACAGTCTCTACGTAAAAGAATAAATGGACACAAATCAGACGTCAAGAATTATAACATTCATTTCCCCATGTTTATTTCTCCCCCCCCCCTCCCCCATCCACTGTTCCTCAGACATTCTTGTCAACTGCTGGAAATGGCCCACCTTGATTATCACTCTAAAAGTCTCCCCCCCTCCCCCCCACCGGCTCTCCCTGCTGGTCATAGCTCACCTTACCTGATCACTCTCCTTACAGTGTGTATGATAACACCCATTGTTTCATGTTCTGTGTATATAAATCTCCCCATTGTATTTTCCACTGAATGCATCTGATGAAGTGAGCTGTAGCTCACAAAAGCTTATGCTCAAATAAATTTGTTCGTCTCTAAGGTGCCACAAGTCCTCCTTTTCTTTTTGGGGATACAGACGGACATGGCCGCTACTCTGAAAGCGGTCTAGTGCAAAAAGGCCCCCTCCTGAGTGAGTGTCTCTCCAGTGCTCCTGCAGGGGTGAAATGCGCACAGCATGGAGTCAGTCAGCATTTCCCACAGCTGACTGCACTGTTGGCAAAAGGTGCCAGGCTGCGGCTCTGGAAACTGGCAGCTTCCATGTCCCTGCAAATGCCCACCCTGAACAGCTCCTCACCGGGGGCTCACCCGACAGTCTCCCCCCTGCCCCCCGAGTGCTCGCCCTGAACAGCTCCTCACCGGGGGCTCACCCGACAGTCTCCCCCTCCCCCCCCGAGTGCTCGCCCTGAACAGCTCCTCGCCAGGGGCTCACCCGACAGTCCTATCCTCCCCCCCCCCCGAGTGCTCGCCCTGAACAGCTCCTCACTGGGGGCTCACCCGACAGTCCTATCCTCCCCCCCCCCGAGTGCTCGCCCTGAACAGCTCCTCACTGGGGGCTCACCCGACAGTCCTATCCTCCCCTCCCCCCCCCGAGTCCTCACCCTAAGTACTCCCTATCCCCTTTGTGCTCACTCTAAGTCACTCACTATAAATGGCTCCCCAGGTGCTGACTTTAAGCAGTTCCTCAAGTGCCCCCCTAAACAGCTCCTCCCCAAGGACTGACCTGCACAATTCCTCCCTAGACTCTACTTAAAGCCCTCAAAATAGCCCTTCACTGGGACGTGTTGGCCCTCTGTCCAGGGGTGGGGGGCAGGGTTTCTCTCCCTAGGTTTGCTACAGGTATTTTGGTGGAGCTGCAGCAGTTCAGAACACCACAGGTGTCCCCAGTGCAGATGTCTCCATGTACGAGAGGGGAATTCACTCCAAACCCTGTCCAGGCCTCAGGCTGCTCATAAGGGGCCTATTAGCGTTTTTGTTCCCCAGCCACTCGGCTGAGACCACCATGTTGGATGGGAATGTCATTCAGCCATTCCTGCCCTGCGAAGGGGTGACCTAGCATTGACTGGCCCCATATCCTCTTGCCCTACCCCGAGCCATTCTGTCCTCTCCCTTAACTCTCTTGCACTCCAGCACCAAAACAGGCCACAAGTTCCTTCATGTTTTCTCTTGATTTTCTCCAGGCACTAAAGTCTATCCTGCGATGGGCAATCATGACTTCCATCCCAAGAACCAGTTCCCAGCTGAGACGCACAGGATCTACAATGCCACAGCAGAACTGTGGCGCTCATGGCTCGGCAGCACCTCCATCCCGGCATTCAAAGCAGGCATGCCCGTCATCCGGCACGGCTAGCTCCCGCTGTCTGCACTGCTGGGGGAAGAAGGCGGAGGAATCCCCAGTGACATGCTGCCCATGCAATGCTGCCCTCTACTGATAGGGCAGTTTTGGGCATATCTGCAGCTAGAGGAAGGGCCCTAGCAATAGGCTGCCAACCTGGTGCAACTCACCAGCTCTGAATTCACTTACACATGAGAAAAGGAAAGATGGTTCCTTGTACCTCAATCTCTCCTGCTTTCTCACAGTTGCACGAGAAGGGTGGCCTAGGAGTGTCCCTTATAGTACAGAAGATGTAGGACTGGGCTGTAATGAATATGAGGGTCTGAGGCTGTTGGACTCAGACAGAGCCCGTGGTTCTTGCTGGCTCTCCAGCTCCTGGACTGACTTGCGCAGATCACCACTCAGAGCCTCCCTTAATCCTGGTCTGACATAGGCAGCCATGGGTGGAAGTGCTGGTTACACTAGAGCCATAGACTGCCCTGAAATAATTTTACTCCAGATGAACGTGTCCTCCTTGAACAGGAACAAAGGATGCATTTACAAACTCCCAGACATGCAGGAGAGCGGTGTGCTGGGCCACTTTGAGCTTCTTTATAAAACCTTTCCCATCATTGCATGACCAGCACTTCAGCTGCATGGCTGGAAGCACTGATGCAGGCAGGGCTCTAGGAAGCTTCTGGTCTGCTAACCATCATCCACTAACCCTGCTCAGATCAGATCCACAGCACATGGTGTTCAATGTGCTGGCAGCCGTGCCCAGACTAGGGCCCCCATCATAGCTATCACCATGGAGCTGAACCTGAGGTAGAAACAGGAGGGGAATTTGGGGCACAAAAGCCAGCAAATGTTGTACCATCAGGTCCTTCTCCTGCTGGTTGTGTTTTGCAGGTGCTTTCTACAGCGAGAAGCTGCTTGGTCCCAATACCAAAGGACGAATGATTGTCCTCAACACCAATCTGTACTATGATAACAATAATCAGACAGCTGGCTTGGAGGACCCTGGTGGGCAGTTCCAGTGGCTGGAAGATGTGCTGACCAATGCGTCAAAAGCAGAAGAAATGGTAAAACTGTTTTCTTCTTGACTTCTCCCACCCTGGAATGTCCCTCCTGGAAGCCCCTTCTGCTGCTGAGCTCCTCCTTAGTCTAGAAACCCTGGAGAGCCTCTACTCTGCTTGGAAGCATGCACTCAGTCTGTACTCAGCCCGGCTCTTTTCTGTTGTAGGTCTACATTGTGGGGCACATCCCGCCTGGCTTCTTTGAGAAGAAGCAGAGCAAATCCTGGTTCCGGAAGCACTTTAACAAACGCTATACAGAGATCGTGCAGCAGCACCATGCAGTGATAGCTGCCCAGTTCTTTGGGCACCATCACACTGACAGCTTTCGGATGTTTTACAGCAATGGAGGTACCGTTCCTTGGCTTGGTCTGAGCCATTCACCCACAGCCCCGACCACTCTAGGAGAACATCCCATTACTGACCATGGTTCTCGGTGACCGTTCCCCAAATGCTATTGAAATGAGTCCAAATGCTAGGAAAGACTTGTTCTGCATCACACTCTCTGAAATTGAATGGACGGTGGTTTGGTCCGGTCTATTCTAGCACATAGACTTGTCAGTACCAAATCAGGGGACCCTTTGCTGAAAACCGCTGTCACCATGATGTGGCAAGACCTGTAAGCCTGCCGGTGTTACTGTTCGGCGAGTCTTCTTGCCTCCCAGCACTGTGCAGGGCCAGAGTGCACTGCCCCACCTGAGGCTGGTGACTGTCCTCCAGGCACTCCGTCCCCACCTGCTGAGGCCCTATGGGGTAGCGGCACAGATCTTTCCAGCCCACGTAACTCACTGGTCAGTGTCTGCCATGGAGCTCTCTGAGTGGGAGCCACAGACAGGGCCGGATTAACTCCCCTGTGGGCCTGGGGCTAATAGATTTTGTGGGACTCTTGTATACAAGTCTTTTTCCTAATTTAAAACAAAATGATCACAATTATGGCATTGAGGCTATTAACGCTATACTAAACTTGTCTTTTAATTAACATAATGTCATTCAGTGGTTACATTTCAGTCTTAAAACATGTAGAATATAGTTAAGTTAATTCAAAATAGGCGGCTACTTATCTTAGAACAGCTGTTATATTAGTTCCTTTCTGGGAGGGAGTTGGGTGCAGGAGGGGGCTCCGGGCTGAGGGGTGCGGGCTCTGGGAGGGAGTTGGGTGCAGGACGGGGCTCCGGGCTGAGGCAGAGTGTTGGGGTGCAGGAGAGGGTGAGGGGTGCGGGCTCTGGGAGGGAGTTGGGTGGAGGAGGGGGCTCCGGGCGAGGGAGTGTTGGGGTGAGGAGGGGGCCCGGGCTGAGGGGTGCGGGCTCTGGGAGGGAGTTGGGGAGGAGGGGGCGGGCGAGGGGTGCGGGCTCTGGGAGGGAGTTGGGTGAGGGAGGGGTTCCGGGGAGGCAGAGTGTTGGGGGCAGGAGAGGGTGAGGGGTGGGGCTCTGGGAGGGAGTTGGGGAGGAGGGGGCCCGGGTGAGGCAGAGTGTTGGGGTGAGGAGAGGGTGAGGGGTGTGGACTCTGGGAGGGAGTTGGGTGCAGGAGGGGGCTCCGGGCTGAGGGGTGCGGGCTCTGGGAGGGAGTTGGGTGCAGGAGGGGGCTCCGGGCTGAGGCAGAGTGTTGGGGTGCAGGAGAGAGTGAGGGGTGCGGGCTCTGGGAGGGAGTTGGGTGCAGGAGGGGGCTCCGGGCTGAGGGGTGCGGGCTCTGGGAGGGAGTTGGGTGCAGGAGGGGAGTCTGACCGGGAGCAGGGGGTTGGGGTGTGAGGTGCAGGCGCTTACCACAGGCAGCTCCCAGGCAGTGGTGCAGCAGGGCTCAGGCAGGCAGCCTGCCATAGCCCCACGCCACTCCCAGAAGTGGCCGGCTGCTGGCACGTCTCTGCACATCCCTGGGGGGAGGGGGACAGCGTGTCTCCATGCGCGGCCCGCGCCTGCAAGTGCAGCCCCCGCAGCTCCCATTGGCCGGGAACTGGCCAATGGGAGCTGCGGGGACGGTGCTGCGGGTGGAGGCAGTGCGCGGAGCCTCCTCCCGCCCCCGTGCCAGGGGCCACAGGGACGTGCCAGCAGCCGGCTGCTTCCGGGAGCAGAGTGGGGCTATGGCAGGCTACCTGCCTGAGCCCTGCTGTGCTGCTGGACTTTTAGTGGCCTGGAGATTGCAATTGACTGGCAGAAGCTCCAGGATGGACCAGTCGATCACGATCGACGGGTTGGTGACCACTGCATTGTGTATAATTATGGATTTTTGTGCCGAGGCCCAAGGCCCTGGGCTACAGCCCCTAAAGCCCCTGCGTTAGTCTGGCCCTGGCCACAGAGGATGTGAAGCTGTTGCAACCCGTAGCTGCAGAGCCTGATTCTTTAGCTCAGGCTGTAGAGAGTTGTGCTTTTAACTGGGGAGGGCCCCAGTTCAACCCTGGTGTCAGCCCAGATGTTGGCGGCCGCTCATGCACCATGATGCCATTAGGAGCGGATTCACGAGCCCCACTGACACATGGTCGAGGGAAGTGGGGCAGGCAGCAGCGTCACAGATAGTTACCGATGCCACGCACCGGGGTTGTAGCTGGACTGGGCCTGACGCAGGCAGGGCGTTCACTCACACACGCTTTGTTTTGCCTTTCCATTCAGGTTCCCCAATCGCCACCATGTTCTTAGCCCCAGGAGTGACTCCCTGGAAGACAACGCTACCCGGAGTGCACAACGGTGCCAACAACCCTGGGATCCGAGTCTTTGACTATGACCGAGGCACCCTGCAAGTGAAGGTGGGAGGTGCCCCCACACTGCATGGTCTGTCCCCTTGGGGCGTGACTGCAACAGCCCAGGGGCTACTCACCCAATACCTCCACATTGCTCTAATAAATCAGACCCAGAGGTAATCTAAGGCCAAAGGGAGAGAGGCAGGGGCAAAATATTCCAGTGTCACAGTGTATGTGAAGGTTTGATTCAGTAGGACAATGGCAGTAAGTTCCAGGGAGCTTGGGAGGGTGATGTGGGTGTAGCGAGCTGCTGGGATCAGAGCCCTCCAGGGCAGTGCAGGATTGCTCCTCCCAGTTTATTCTGCAGGCCCTTACCCAGTCTGGTTTTAAATATCCCTAGCAATGGGGCTTCCAGCACTTCCATTTGGGGAATAAAACCACAGCTGACTAGAGCTCACATGCAAGACTCTAGCTCCCATACAGAATATGGTTTAGGTCTGATCTACACTGTGAATGGGACCCATACTGTAACCGGATCAGGGAATAGCTGTGTTGTAGCGGGGGCCCCTGACTCAGTTATCTGTGCTACCTGGAAAGGTGAAAATGTGCTTGTGCCCTTCTTTGCTTCTTTACAGTGAATAAGGAAGGCCCGACAGTATCAAACTCTTCTGTTTGGTCCATTAGAAATGCAACGTTTATTTGTCCTGGAAGATTCTCTGGAAGCCTGGAGAACTAGTCAAGGAGAGATCTCGGGAGCCCAGAGAGTGAATGCTGGGAGACAGAGCAGCAGGGGTTTTAACCAGACTGTTTAAAGCTCTGCTTTTGCCTTGATTTTGTTAACACCCGGTAACTTTGCTGAGCAATGAACAGTTTGGCGAAAGGCAGCCTTTAGTAAAGATTCAGTCCCCCATCTCCTCCAGGAAGGGCTCATGCTTACAGTAACCCTGCACCCTCCCCTACGCCCCCCTGCAAAGCGCCACAAGCCTGATATTTCTGTGGTAAAAACAAACACCCCAAGCGCCCTGCCAGCCCTTCTCCATCCAGCATAAAGACGCAAAGTGGGGCACAAATCCAGTTGGTCAAACTCTTTTAAAGCTGACCCTTGCAGGATACTCAGGTTTGAGATACCTTTAACCTGGGCCCCATTAACAGCCCTTTGCACATGGCCTGTTACTTGATGGGATAAAGCCCCCAGCATGATGGCCGGGCACCCAAGCAGAGCCAACATCCAGCCAGAACTGTCCTGCTGGAATTGGCCAGAGCTTGCCAGACGCCTGCTCACCGCTCACCAGACGGCTGGTGTCTCTTCCACGCTGGGTTTGGCGTGGGCGGAAGCGCCCTACACCAGCAGCAGTGACGGGGAGGCTGCTGAAGCCCAGCCCCATCGCAGCCCTGGTCAAATTGGTCGCTCCCAGTGTTGTTTCTGTGCTCGGTTGCCCCAACACTCCTCTTGGTCTCCTCTTTCTCGCTGCAGGAGGTAGTGACTTATTATTTAAACCTAACTCATGCTAACCTGGTGGCCCCAAGATGGGAGAGAGAGTACCGGCTGACTGAAGCCTTCCAGGTCCCTGACGGGTCAGCACGCTCCATGCACATGGTGCTGGAGAAGATATCGAAGGACAAGAACTACTTACAACAGTACTACCAGTTTAACTCAGTCAAGTATGACCTCACAGAGTGTGACGAGAGCTGCCAGACTGATCATGTCTGTGCTATCAGGGAAGTTGATTTTCTAAAATACGATGAATGCATTAAAGCCAGGAGCTTCACAGCTGTATCCTCTCTGCCAGCAAAACCCCTTTTATTCCTCTGCTCACTGCTTGGCCTCCTCCACTTCCAGGGGCACCTCTGGTGACTCTGCCTAGGTGGACCCCCAGCTCTGTGCAAACAGAGAATGCAGCACATACATCAACATCAGCAAATGCCTCAGGGGTTGGAATTTACTCCAGAAGAGGATGAAATCTGTTTTTATTCCAGGGGTTTTATGACATGACTTTGACCCCTTCTAATAAAGATTGTTGGGTTTGGAAGGGATGGTGTCCTGCCTGGTGCTTTCTAACCAGGAATGTGGGCGAGGAAATTGCTGTTCACCCCACGAGTCCCATAATCTTTAACTCGGCCTGCTAACAAGTGTGGAACTACACCCTGCCTCGTCACTAGGATTGTAGCCCAAGTGCAGAAATTTGAATTAGGAACATTCCTTTTTTCCTAGTACCAAGGAGACCACAGAGGCTGACTGAGTGGCACGGGTGGGTGGCAATGTGGGGCAGATTGTGGTGCATAAGCCAAGACAGCTGGTGCGGTTCTTTAGTCTGACGCTCGTTTACCATGTGAACTTGAGCAAGTTTCTTAGGCCAAGATTTTCCAATATCAATGCCTAACCTTAGGTTCCAAAATAAATGGCCAAGTTTGAAGTGATGGGCACCCAGCGTTACCCCAAGAACAGATCCAGGGGTCCCAGAGTATCCCTTCTGTTGCTTACCTCTCATGGATTGGTAACTGGTTAAAAGATAGGAAACACAGGGTAGGAATACATGGTCAGTTTTCAGAATGAAGAGAGGTAAATCATGGTGTCCCACAGGGGTCTGTACTGGACCCAGTCCTATTCAACATATTCATAAATAATCTGGAAAAAGGGGTAAACAGTAAGGTGGCAAAATGTGCAGATGATACAAAAATACTCAAGACAGTTACGTCCCAGGCAGACTGCAAAGAGCTACAAAAGATCTCTCAAAACTGAGTGACTGGGCAACAAAATGGCAGATGAAATTCAAGGTTGATAAATGCAAAGTAATGCACATTGGAAAACATAATCCCAACTATACATATAAAATGATGGGATCTAAATTAGCTGTTACCACACAAGAAAGAGATCTTGGAGTCACTGTGGATAATTCTCTGAAAACATCCACTCAATGTGCAGCAGCAGTCAGAAAAGCCAACAGAATGTTGGGAATCATTAAGCAAGGGACAGATAAGACAGAAAATATCATATTGCCTCTATATAAATCTATTGTACACCACATCTTGAATACTGTGTGCAGATGTGGGCGCCCCATCTCAAAAAAGATATACTGGAATTGGAAAAGGTTCAAAAAAGGGCAACAAAAATGATTAGGGGTATGGAATGGCTTCTGTATGTGGAGAGATTAATAAGACTGGGACTTTTCAGCTTGGAAAAGAGACAACTAAAGGGGGATATGATTGAGATCTATAAAATCATGAGTGGTGTGGAAAAAATAAATAAGGAAGTGTTATATATTCCTTCTCATAGCACAAGAACTAGGGTCACCCAATGAAATAAATAGGCAGCAGGTTTAAAACAAACAAAAGGAAGTATTTACACAATGCACAGTCAACCTGTGGCACTCTTTGCCAGAGGATATTGTGAAGGCCAAGACTATAACAGGGTTCAAAAATGAACTAGATAAGTTCATGGAGGACAGGTCCATCAATGGCTATTAGCCAAGATGGACAGGAATGGTGTCCCTAGCCTCTGTTTGCCAGAAGCTGGGAATGAGTGATAGGGGTTCTCACCGTTTCTGACTCTATGGAGCACACACTAACAGAGACATCATTTGGTGGATACCTCCCCTCCCATTCATGATCACCCAGTCCCAGATCCCTGGCTAATCACCCTTGCAGAGATCACCTCCTCTCCCGTTTGCAACTGCCCCACCTCTCCTTCCCTCCTAGTCATACTCAGTAACATCCCTGCAGCAGCTGCAGCAATTGCTGCATTGGGAATGGAATGGGACTATTTAGGGTCTTTGATACTTTTCAGCAGATGGAAGGGGAGGAGCCGTGACCATGGTGTGGTGGGTTACCCCCCCTTCGGGGTGCAACCTGATGTACTGGGGTACCACTGAGCCCCCCTGCTCCACCAGCCTGGGCTCCCTCACTCTGTCCTGATGAGCCAGGCCCTCAAGCCTCCTCCAGCACACACACAGGTAGGGACACACCCAGCGGCAGGAAGACACAGACACTGAGATCAGCTCTGCATGGGAAGACTCAGCTCAGGAATTGCCCAGCAATCAAGTGCACACCCCCCTCCGGAGTCTAAACCCAAAACTGTATTGTCTTGTGCTGCACAGAGAACTGTACAGCGTAAGATCATGAAATCTGCTCCCTCCCGCAATGTGGCGGAAGATATGCACAGCTTTTTGCCCCCCAGTTATGAATTCCACAAATTCAGTGACTTTCTTACAGAGTTCTGGGCTAGAAGCCCTGGACTCCCCTCTTCCAGTCCCCCCCAAGCAGACTGTCACGCTTCCAAAGACCCAACCTCGGATACCCCCATTGCCCCTCCTCCTTGTCTTTGTGTCGCTTCCCAGGCAAAGAGTAATCTGGTCATCACCTGGTTGCAGCCCCCTCCTGGGTCTCAGGTTACAAAGGGCACTGGGGGCAGCTGGAGCGCCTCACCTGCTCCAGAGGGTCTCAGCCAAAGTCACACACCTCTGTTCCCAGCACCGAGGCCCTGATGCATCACTCAGGAAAACCGGGGCATGCACAGTATTCATCCAAACCAGTAAGACTCACATAGACGCACGTACACCAGAACAAGGGAAATTCCCAATTCGTCACACCTTATTTCCAGTCTCTCTAGCTTCAACTTCCAGCCCTTGGACTGGGTTAAGCTTCCTCTGCTAGACTGAAGAGCCTCGGGTGACAGTCCAGTGGGGTTCAGGGGAGCACCCAGCCCAGGGAGGGGTTGTCACCGCTTGGGCTCGAAGACCCGGCCGACGAGCGGGCGGTTCGGCCGCGCTGCTCCGGCGGCTCGGGCCCCTGCGCGGCTCGGGCCCCGCTCCGGCTTGCGGCAGCCTGGGTTACGCTCAGCAAGGCGACCCCAACGCCCCCCAGTCCCCACCTTCCCCAAGAGCCGTGGCCCGCACGGGCCAGGCCGCAGCGGGACCCTGGAGCCAAATAATGTGGGTCATGGTGGGGGGCGGAGCCCTGGGGGGGCCTGGGGGGGGTCGGGGCCCTGTCGGGGGGCTGGGTGGGGGTGGGGTGTTGGAGGTCCGGGGGGGCGGGGCCTGTCGGGGGGCTGGGGGGGGCCCGGGGCCAGGCGGCGGGGGTGGGGGGGGCAGAGCCTTCCCGACCCGGCCCCCGGCCCCCCAGCGAGGCCGCTTCCCGCGCGCGCTGCGGGCTGGGGGCCGCGGGCCGAGCCGCCGCCTCTGCCCCGCCCCGCCCCGCCCCGCCCCCGGCCGGGAGCGTCTCTCGGGCGGCGCCGCGGGGCCGGGAGCGGTCGGAGCGAGGGGGCAGCCGGAGCCGGGGGAGCCCGGGGGGAAGGAGGGGTCCCCAGGGGCCGGGGGGGAGCCCGGGGGGGGAGGGTTTGGGGCGGGGGGGGGCAGCCCCGGGGAGGGGTCCCCAGGGGCCGGGGGGCAGCCCGGGGGGGGGAAGGTTTCAAGGGGCGCGGGGGAGCCCGGCGGGGAGGGAGGGAGGGGTCCCCAGGGGCCGGGGGGCAGCCCGGGGGGGGGAGGGTTTCAAGGGGCAGGGGGCAGCCCGGGGGGGGAGGGGTCCCCAGGGGCCGGGGGGCAGCCCGGGGGGGGAGGGTTTCAAGGGGCAGGGGGCAGCCCGGCGGGGGGGGAGGGTTTCAAGGGGCGGGGGGGGCAGCCCCGGGGAGGGGTCCCCAGGGGCCGGGGGCAGCCCGGGGGGGGGGAGGGTTTCAAGGGGCGGGGGGAGCCCGGGGGGAGGGGTCCCCAGGGGAGGGGGCAGCCCGGGGGGAGGGTTTCAAGGGGCGGGGGAGCCCGGCGGGGGGAGGGTTTCAAGGGGCGGGGGGGGGCAGCCCCGGGGAGGGGTCCCCAGGGGCCGGGGGGCAGCCCGGGGGGGGGAGGGTTTCAAGGGGCGGGGGGGAGCCCGGCGGGGAGGGAGGGGTCCCCAGGGGCAGGGGGGAGCCCGGGGTGGGGGGAAGGATTCGAGGGGCGGGAGGGGGGGATTAGCCAGGGCAGGGAGGGTCCCGGGGGGGTTTGGTGGGAGCCGGCCCCTCCGGCACGGGGCACAGCGGGCAGAGAGCAGGGCTGTGCAGGGCGGCGACATCTGTGGCCCTTTGTGCCATGGCAGGGTCAGGCTATGGCTCTGCTGGCCCCCCCGCCCCATCCCCTCGGTACCGGTACCTGGACCTGCTCTTCGCCCTACTGGGCACTGCTGCCTTCTTGGTAGACCTGGTCGCTGATCTGTGGGTGGCCGCCAGCTACATGCAGGCTGGGCACTGTCTCTGGGGGGGGCTGGTGCTGGCGCTGCTGGGCCTCTCCTCCCTGGCCATGCAGTGCTTCAGCTGGGCCTGGTACCGGACGGACAACATCGAACTGGAACTTCCCAGTGGCCGCTGCCTGGCTGCACTGCACCTCCTCCAGCTGGGCTATCTCTACAGGTAAGGAGGCTGCCCAGTAACTCCCCCTCTGCTGAGATCTTGCAGCCCAGGGCCACCTGTCCTCACCCTGACCTCAGCTGGAGAGGGGTCCAGGAGGTCCCTGCAGGCCCTGCGGCTGAGCGTTATAATTTACAAATAAAAACTACACTACACTGCAGTCAGTAACCGAAGGGTTAAAATATCACAGAGTGGCTGTAATTTTCCCCCTACCAGTTGTTACAAACCCAGGAAATTCAGGGTTAAGGTTCAACTGGAATCCAAAGAGCAGGGGTCTGGAAGTGCGCAGTCAAGGCCCCTGTATTCGTGCCGGGAACAGTGAGGCCCCTCAGTCATTCTTAGTGCACGGTCGGGTTGTGCTCCCGGGTCCCAGATGAAGCTGATTTTGAAAGACAATGTAATTTTTTTCATTTCCCCTCCTTGGTGCCCCTCCATTATACAAACAGTAACTTGCTGGCCAGGGACTCATTTGGTGGGCGGCAGGGCTTGGCTGGGGTGGGGCAGCTGCAGTAGGTGACCGCATGAGGAAACGTCAGAACTGTGCAACTCCCTGGTGCTAACGCATACGAAACAGTGCGTGGTTTTGTCTTTGTTCCCAGCGTGCACAAGGAGGCCAGGTCTGCAGTAAGGCTTGGTCTACGCTGCCAACTTATACTGGTATAACGACGTCCCTCAGGGTATGGCTCTCCCGCGCCCGAGAGCGACCTCGCCCTCAGTGTGGCTAGTGCTGTCGAGGGAAGAGCCTCTCCTCTTGCCATAGTCACCGGCTCTGGGACGGGGCATTCCTGTGCCAGCGGGGAAAGCTCGCCTCGGTGTCTTCACCCTGCGCTGTTGCAGCACTTAGGTGTAGACAGGCCCATACGCTTCTGCTGGCGTAGCAGCGTCCGTCAGAGGTGGATTTGTTTGCAGCGTTGCTGTCCCGGCAAATCCCCGAGTAGAGCCATGGCTGGAAGCGCGTCAGCCAGCACGGGTGACTTCGCTTGTGCAACGGGTCTCAGCAGAAGCTCTACCTCCAGGAGGGAGGTTTGCCCGTCCAGCAGCACCGGCGCAGTTGTATTAGCAAACCTTTTCTGCTGTTACAAGTGTGAGACACGCTCAGCTGCCTCAGGCCTCGCCCGCGCGGCCTCCGGTCTGGGGCTGGCTGCACGGCACAGTCCAGCGGCAAGCACAGAGAGCCGTGGGTCAGCTAACCTGGTTGTTGACGCTCTGCTGTTTTCTGGTGCAGAGGAGACCTAAGCTACTGCAGCTGCCTTGTCAGTTCCAGCCATTTCCCCTAAAATGTCCCACCTTTTCCGCCTGGGTTTTCCCTGCTGGGAGTAGTAGCACCAGGAAGGCTAGTGTACACAGGACTCGGAGGCCACCATCCCGTTGCCTAGACCTGCTTGGGTGTTCTGCTGGCAGCCCCCACGCGCGCGTTGAGAAAAGGCTGATGCAGACAGCCTCAGTGCTGTGCCGGGCTCACGGGGGCCTGTCCCTCTCCAGCACCGCCTCTGGAAGTGCCCCATGTTCTTCTCGGGGTGGAGGGTTTCATTCATTCTCTGCCCAGGGCACAGAAACAAACTGCTGAAGCTCCCAGGGTTTCCTGCACACTGGGGCTGTGTTTCAGGCTGCCACTGGAAGGTTCAGTATCTTGTGTGTAAAAAGCAATGTCATTTCCTGCATTTGAACCTATGGTTGTTAAAACTGGGCAGACTGTTTGCTGTTCACCACTTGAGCTGATTGCCCGGGGTTGTGCTTTGTTCAGCTGGGACAAGGAAAGTAAGTCACTTTCTCTTTTGGTTCTGGTCTGCTTCTAGTGGATTTCAGGTCAGTCTGTGGAGTGCTCCGTGCTGCAGTGTTTGGGTTGCAAATACTGCAGGGGAATGTTAAACTCAAACCAAAAGTCATTTTTACTGGAACTGGGGGAAAAATGACCCCCTGGATTTCTTTTTTTTTTGATGGTGGATTATTAATACAGCCTAAACTTTGGGCATAAAGTGACTTGACAGGTGAGTGGGAGATCTCAGCCTGTCAAACACAGCCCAAAGCGCCCAAATGAGTGACACTCTGAAGTTATTCATGCAGGAAATGTAACCTGATTTGGGACCCTGGTGTCAGCATACGCTCTGCATCATCCATATGATGAATGCTGACTGGTGACATAGATAGGTGTCCGTGAGAGAAGTCAGGGCAAGGCAGGTACTAGGGATTCACATGAGATCTCCCTTGATGTGAAGGGCATGAATGAGTGTCCCATTCACTTTGACAGGCACGGATTTAGAGCTGTCTTGAGGGCAGGCTGGCTCTGGAATCCCACAGACAGCCAGAGCTGTATTTGTGGCATAGAGGTGCTGCCCTGGTGTAGAGCAGCCTCTCATGGCAGGGCCGTGATGTCTGCGCAGGTGTCTCCGTGTGCTGAGAGCGGGCTGGCGAGCATGCAGGGTGGAGACTGCACAGGAGCGAGACTACGCTGTCTTCCTGTCCCACGACATCAGCATGCTGCGCCTCTTTGAGACCTTCCTGGAGGGCACCCCCCAGCTCACGCTTGTGCTTTCCATCGTTCTGCATACAAACAAGTTGGAGCCTTTCCAGGGTGAGTGGCACAGCTCCTGGGCGTGGTGGGGGCAGGGCACGGCACGGGGGATTCCTTATCACAGAGCTACCTGGTGAGGAGTGGGCGAGTGAGATAAGGGAACGATCCCCTGAGCTGCTTCAGCTCCGGCTTCTAAGGGATACGAGAGCTGGGCCTCGTTCTGGAGCCCGTCGGTCAGACTGGGGAGGTGCTGGTTCTCCCTGGTTGACCCCTCCTGCCCACAGTGTCTTGTGGTCCCAGCCCTGGGGGATTTCTCGCTAGCACATTAGCTCAGAGCTGGGGTTGAGCGTTGTGCAGTGCAGGGCTCCAGTTAGAGCTGCCCAGTGTAGCGGGGAGGTGAATCCCTAGAGGCTCGGAGCCGTCTGCGTGCACTGGCTCTGCGCCTGGGACACCCTCTGGCCAGACTCTGCAGGGTTGGGATGCGGTATGCTGCAAGGAAGGGGGTTCCGGCTGCTGGGAGACCGGACCATTGCCTAGTCGCAAGTGTTTCCCCTTTGTGCTGATGTGCCCATCTCAGACGCTGCAAAGCAGCTTGCTGAGAAGAGGGGAGGGGTTGGGATTTTGGTGCCCATGGGGAGGGATCCTCTCTGGGAGGTGGCAGAACACTCTGAACAAGGGGGGGCAAAAGCAAGGCCCTGCATTGAGCCCAGAGCTTGCTTCAGCCGGGAAAGGGATGTGTTGGGACCACAGAGCTGTGTGCTTAGCCAGGTGCAGGCATGGCACTCCCTGCATCTGAGCACATGGGGTGGGCACCGGGGCAGTGCCCTCGGAGATCGATTGGCTCTCAGAGCTTCCCAGTGGGACACAAAACTGGGCCAACCCTGAGCCCCCCACTCAGCTGAGGGCCAGATGCTATTCCATTGACTCCAGCGGGTCAGGATTACACCCCCGCCCCCTTTAGTGCTTGGCTGCAGGGGGCGGCACAGACCAGGTTAATGGGAGGAGCTTGGTCCAGTCCCCCCCCCCGTCCAGGCTGGGCTGCCTCAGTCAGGAAGTAGCAGGGTGCCTCCGGCCTTAACCTCAGGCCCGGTCCTGTGGCTACACCCCACTCAGTCCTAAATGGCAATGGCTGAGTCACCTCCCAGCCCCACGGTGTCCCGCCTCCCTCGGCTGTTGGCATCCGGGCCAAGGAGGGCTTCCCCTGAGCCCTGCAGTTCTTTTCTGGTGCTGCCCCGTGGGGGTGGGGCACTCCCGTTCCAGGCATCTCACAGGGAGCAGGGCATGGAATAAGGGCTGGCCTGTGGCCAGGCACTTCCTAAGCGTTTCTGGGGCTCCCTGAAGCAGGAAGTGGCATGTTTCAGTGCAGGCCTATGGGGTGAGTGAGCGAGGGAGGTGTGCAAGGGAACGTGAGAGCAGCTGTGACACAGAGCCCTCTGGCTGGGGGGGCCCTTGAGAGCCGTGGGCTTTGTTCGTTGATCCAGGGCCTGGTTGCAGTGATGCCTCGTTGGGGTGAATCCGGCACCTCTTCATGCCGGTCACTGGTGCCCAGGGCCTGAGCTGTTGCCTGATGCTCCATGCAGCTGCCCCCACTGCCTGTGGTCCCCGGTGATCCTTTCTCCCGCTGTTGTCATAGGGCTCGGGATTTTCACTGCCTCCCTATGCGTGGCGTGGTCGCTGCTGGATTATCACCAGTCCCTCCGCTGCTTCCTCTTGGACAAGCATGAGCTGGGCCCGCTCTCCTCCACCATCTACTTCCTGTGGAACTTCCTCCTCATCTGCCCCCGCGTCCTGGCAGTCGCGCTCTTCGCCACACTCTTCCCGTGCTACGTCGGCCTGCACTTCCTGGGCATCTGGGCTGCCATGCTCCTCTGGGTCTGGCTGCAGGGCACTGACTTCATGGAGTGCCCCAGGTGGGAGTGGCTCTACAGGGCCACGGTGGCCGTGATTCTATATTTCTGCTGGTTCAACGTGTCCAAGGGGCAGACGCGGCAGCGCAGCACGATCTATCATGGCTTCATCCTGGTGGACAGCGTGCTCCTCGCTGGCTCCTGGCTCTGGCACAATGCCCCTCTGCATGAGCGCTCTTTTCTGCTCCCTGTGCTTCTCGCTGCCCTGGTCTGCTTCGTGCTCGGGCTGCTGCTGAGAATCGCCTACTACAAATGGTTCCACCCCACGCTGCAGGTCCAGTGCCAGGCAAGCTATGATGAAGTAGACACTGCAGAAGGACTAGCCGGTTTCCGAGCTGGCCCAGTGCCGGCCCCTGTGAACAGACGGATGTACCAGCTGTCCCAGAACCACTTCTTGGTCTCTTTGCAGGCCGGGTGAAACTGGGGGAATGGGGACCTGGACAACGTGCCTCTCTGAGCGCAGCTGTCCCTGCTCCAGGCAGAGGGATTTACACCTCAGGGATCTGTGCTGCGGGATCCCAGGCCGGACCTGGCTCCAGCCATCTCGGCGCCTGCAGTGTGTTCCCAGGGACTGGGCACCACACCTCTGGAATGGGCAGCTGTCGCAGGGAGAGGAGATTGGAGCGAGCTAGGCGGGCTGAGGGCACTGGCATGTAGGGCCCAACAGCTGGCATCCAGCACGGGCAGCTGTGAAGCCTGTTCTGGTCTGGCATTCTTCTAATGGGACAGGCACTGCAGCGAGTGTCATGGGAGAACCCGCTATAAGAGTGCTGGACGCATTAACCCTTTATCGTTAGGCCCCTATTACAGGAACTTCTCACTTGTTTCTGCTGGTTGCTGTGGCCTCCCGGCTTCTGCTCTGCACATTGCCCTGTTCAGCCCCATCCCCATTTCCCTGCCAGGCTCACCACTGCTCTGTTTCAACAGAGTTCAATGGGAAACCGTGTGCTCTGTTCTTGGCAGGACCTGCCAGGTTTTCCATTTGTCTGGAATTTCTCTGCACCTGTGTTTTGTTGCTAATTTCAAAGCTTCCCTGTAGTAGTGGGTGACCCACGGCACCACACTGGGCGAGGCTTGGAGCCTCTAGGGATGACTTGGCCACTGCAGGGGGTGTTAGTTTGTTGATGTTTATAAAGGGAAGGGTATAAATATATGGTGTTATAATAATGTGCCATCGACAGAGACCTAGTCTCTAGCTCCGCACTTTCAGGAGGGAACAGCAGCATGTTCCTGTTGGAGAGATGGGGGTAAGCATGTGAAGAATTCAGGGCGGTGGAGGGGAGGTGAATGGTGTGGAGAATTCAGGAGGGTGGGGGGGGCAATGGTGTGGAGCGTTCGGGGGGTGGGGGGGAACGGCGTGGAGCAGTGGTTTTCAAACGGCAGGTCGCGGCATGGAAGGCGCTGGGTCGCAGCGGCTCCAGTCAGCACCGCAGCCTGGGCCGTTAGAAGTCTGGTTGGTGGCGCTGCCCGGCTAAGGCAGGCTAGTCCCTGTCTGCTCTGACCCCGCGCTGCGCCCTGGAAGGGGCGAGCAGCAGGTCCTGCGCCGGGTGGGGTCGTCGGGCTCCGCACGCTGCCCCTGCCCTGAGCACCAGCTCCGCACTCCCTCTGCCCCGGCCCAGAGCCCCCTCCCGAGCCCCGCAGCCCTCTGCCCCAGCCCTGAGCCCCCTCCCACACCCCGAGCCCCGCAGCCCTCTGCCCCGGCCCAGAGCCCCCTCCCACACCCCGAGCCCCGCAGCCCTCTGCCCCGGCCCAGAGCCCCCTCGCAAACCCCGAGCCCCGCAGCCCTCTGCCCCGGCCCAGAGACCCCTCCCACACCCCGAACCCCGCAGCCCTCTGCCCCGGCCCAGAGCCCCCTCGCAAACCCCGAACCCGCAGCCCTCTGCCCCGGCCCAGAGCCCCCTCCCACCCCCCGAGCCCTGCAGCCCTCTCAGAGCCCTCTCCCACACCCTGAACCCCGCAGCCCTCTGCCGCAGCCCTCTGACCCAGCTCTGCTGGGTCACGGGCAACAACAATTTCCTTCAGCTGGGTCTCCAGAAAAAAAGTTTGAGAACCACTGGTGTGGAGAATGGTGGGGTGGGGGGAGGGGAATGGCTTGGAGAATTCGGGGGATGGGGGGTGAATGCTCTGAGCTGAGTAAACCTTTTGCTCTTTTTCAAAACAAAGTTAAAATGTTGAAGTTTTTCCAGTGTTGGTTCTTTGTTGCAAAGATAATTGGTGTGTTCCTGCATGAATCCCAGCCCTGATCGTGGCCCCTTTCCCCCCCCAGCCGTGGCTGACCCTCTGCTCACCTCGGTGGGGTAGTGAGGAGTTGCTTTCCCAGCATTAGGAAACAAGAGCTTGGTGTGGGAGTTGTCACGCTTGGTTCCTGCAGGGACCCACACACTGGCTGTCGTTGGCCCTGGTGGGAGCGGGGCTGCTGATTGATTGCAGTTTCCAGTGTGGTGTAGCTAAGTTGCTTAGTTTCCAGTTTGTGGGAAGCATCTGAGCCTGGCCTCCTGCCGTTTCTTGGCCTGGCTCTTGTGGCTTTAGGCACTTTCCAAGGTGCCCAGCTGGAGAGGTGTGTTTCCGTGTAACAGTCCTAAAGCTGCCCCAGCTGGGCAGGAGAGGGGCTGAGGTTTGTGGCGGGCGAGTATCAGCCCTGGCACTGGGTTTGGCTGGATGGCCAGCTCTGCAGGACCCTGGGCCTCAGTCCACCCCCTCCCTTCCCTCCAGCACCAGGGCAGGAGTCTGGGAGCGTGCAGGCCTTGCCTAAGGTCAGGAGCTGCACTGGTTGATTCAGCTTCCAAGATGCTCCAAAATCCCACCACAACTGGCTGCTCTTGGCTTAGCATCAGTCACTCCCTTCCCACTGATGCTGAACTGCTGAGAGCCAGTTAGGTATTGCAGGGGTTAAAGGTGGCAGCTGCAGGAGGCCCAGGCCTGCCTGTGAGAGATAAGAACCCTCCAGCTGCACAGGAAGGGTGTATCCAAGCCTGGCAGGGCCAAGGGGCCCAGCTCTCGCTGACGGGCCCTTCCCATCTCTGTTTCCATGAGCGCCCAGTGTCCTTTAAGAGGGGATTGGGGATGGGCCATGTTCCAGTATTGGCCAGGGTCAGCAAGGCCCTGCAGACACCTCCTCCTGACCTCTCTGAATTTATTGTTAGAAGTTCTCAGCAGAAAGTGTCGGCACTGGGCGGAGTACCCAGCAGCTTGGTAAAGCCCAACTGCACAGGCCCTTGTGTAATTTTCAGAACAAAATAATGACCCCCCCTCCCCCCCAGGCACCAATAAATCTGCTGCAGGGCACCTTCCCATCGGGGCCACGCTGCTGTGTGACTGGAGCTGCTCTTAGTGTGCTCAGAGCCGAGCTGTCAGCCACCCTACGTGCTCTTCAAGCACAGTCTGTTAGACGAATGGCCACTAGGCCAGGCCTAGCGCAGGCCAACACAGGACTGGGCTGGGCCAGGCCACCACTGGGCTTCTTCTGTTTGTACAGCACCAATCGTGATAAAAAGGATTGGGCCCATAATGCTTTGTGCTCCCCAAGCACCCTGGAACACCAGCCAGAATCCAGTAGTGCAGACCCAGGGCTGGCCTGTAAATGCAGACTGGGATCAGGCCCTATGGAAACCTGGCTTCCACGGTGAGGCCATTCACAAGGGAAACGAGTTGCAGTTTCAGGGTGAGGGGACAGTTGTCCTTATCACATCTCACGGGCTGCCGGCTGTGTGTCAGGGCTGTTCTGCACTGAACTTCAGCTTGAAACATCCTTCCCATTGCGGATTTAACAGGCTGCATAGAGCAGCTCCCAGCAGGATTAGATGCCTTAGAGACTTGGGCTCCTGAACAAGACAGGTGAGCAGGTCCCTGCGGCATGCATCAGCAAGCTGGGAGGGACCCCACATGTGGAGATGGCAGGGTCCCCCAGGGCCATTCCCACACAGCCCGCAGGGAAGGAGAATGCAGTCCCAGCAATTTAGGTGATGGGCCAGGAGCATCAGTGTGTGGGGCTCTGCCTGGCCTCAGCCCATTGGGGAGAGCCCACTGCTGGTGAGTCGGGAAGGGAAATGACAGCTCTGGACTCTGGGGAGGATGTAGGAGGTGGCTGAGGGAGGGAGGGAGTGGTAGGGGAGACCAGGACCTGTCCAGATGTAGTTTAAGGTAACTCCAGCAGAAGGCAGCAGGTGATTTCTCTGCGCCAGCTCTAAGAAAGATACAGCCAACAAACCTCTGTTTAGTACCATCTCCCTTGGGCACCAGCCATTCAGTGGCCAGGGCCTCTGCCCTAAACAAGTTGCTCCAGGCCTAGCCAGAGCCAAACTCTTTCTGCCCTCTAGCCCTTTCCTCCCAGCCAGGCCTGTGCTGGGGCCAGGGTGGCTCTAGTTCCTGACCCCCCCCAGGAGCAGAGAGGATACGTTCTAGGATCTGACTGGGGCCCTGGCTCCTACACCCCTCATGCTCTGCCTAATGTCTCTGCTGTGGTCCCTGCATGTTCGTCAAGGCCTTCTCCATCCCTGGGATGGAACCTGGGGCAAGGCCCAGAGCTCATGAACAGCAGCAGAGATGGGACCCTCTCACTGCTGGAGGGCTTTCCAGCCAGCTGCGAAAGGTCAGCACCAGCTGAAACAATGGGGTGGGAGGGAGCTGGGGTCAGGATGGTCGACTTATCAGTGCCACCTGCCCCTTATGCCCAAGCACTACAGGATAACCCTGAGCGCCCACCCCTAGTAGCCACCCATCTGGTGACATGGGGGACGGTTGGAAATCAGATCAAAAGCTTTCCCAACAGCCTCAACCCTATCCCCACCCCTGCCAATCTCACACCACCCCAAGAGGTGGGGCATAGAGCTGCGGGTCTACACATGAGATGTGCCTTGTGAGGCAAAGGGAGGGAACCCTTTCCCCCACATGGCCCATACGGGTGAAACATCCCCTCCACCTGGGGGGACTTTCCCCACCCACCCTGCATGGCCCATGGTATTTCCACACCATCCTTCAGGCCCACGTGTGGGAGAGGAGTGGAGGCGTTGCCCCGTTATTCACAGGAGAGATGGGGTGCTGCCTTTGGCTGTGCAGTAATTTGTTTCCTCACCTCCTGTGAGAATAGCTGAGAGTTGCTAAAGCCCCAGAAGGTGGGCAAGAGTCAGGCAGACACGCAGAAGGGGTTTTTCCCCAGGCAGCGCTCAAGAGGGCTGGAGCATCTTGTGTCACTGCCAGGTAGGTGCAGCCCAAAGCACATGACTGGGAAAACATCATGAACTGCCAGACTAGGCCCCCCCAGGTGGGGATGTGGCACCCTCTTCAGGGGGGGTAACTGCACACTAGACTGGGACGAGTATTGCTCCCAGCTGGCCTGTGCAAAGCAGGGTGGATTGATTTAAGTTATTGATTTTAGTCAACTTCTCCATTTGTACTTCTGCACCTTCCTTTAGAAAATGACTGTCTTATTAAGTGAGATGAACATGTTGATTTACAACCACATAGAGCCTTGACACGAGATTTTGAACACTTTTGCTACCTCGGAGAGTTCACTACAGCAATATACATTTATGTAAGCAATATACAGCTTAATATTTTCAGATTCTTAACTGTACATTTTTAGTAGATTAGAAAATGGTGAATGATGTATTGCTATTTACTAGATAACTTTTTGCTCATTAGGATGGTAACTGGAATTTAAACAAACAAAACAATAAAATTTATTTTTATTAAACAAAGCTACCTTAAAAGTTATGTTTTGATAAGACATGTATGTAAAACACGTTTCACATTTATAACAATGATTTATCAGAGAGAGAGGGGATTAACTGTGGTCAGTGAATTAAACTGATTATTTCAGATGTTCTGATAATTAGTCTAAAACTTTTGCCGCCTTTGGAATTTACATGGAAAGCAGGTCAAGTTATTTTCAATAAAGAAAGCATGTTATAAACAGGTGCAAGAGAACCAGACAGAGTAAAGCCAAAAGGCCATTCTGATATAATCCAGAACCTGTTGAAATTATGCTAGTTAAAAACAGATTATGGGGCCAGAAGTTAATGTACCAAAATTGGTGTGCCTTGCATCTTTTCGGTGCATTGTTTGCATTCAGCACTTGTTCCTTTTTTATCCAGAGGTACAGGAATCTCTCGAAAATATTCCAATAGGGTCTTTTTTATGACCTGCAGCCATGGTGGATATTTCCCTGCCGTTTCCAGGTGTTGACATTAGCACTAAGGCTGCACTCTGAAGAACACTGTCCCTTCTTCCCAGTGCCGTTTTGATACTGGTGTTGCTCCTTTCCGGTTGCACAATCTGCTCCTTCTCCCCCTTACATAACTTCCCTGCCTCCCCCCCCCGGAAAAAGAAGAACTAACAGCAATCCAAGACTTCTGCTTGTGTAACTCACAGGCCTGTTGCACTGCAGTATTGTACTTGTTTAGAGACAGAGAGGGAGGCAGTTCAAAAGTTAGTGGATGTCTGTGCACACATGCAAGGGGACAGAGCAAGGCCATTTACTGGAACTGCCAAGCCCCAGCCAGAAGCAAGGGCTGGGAGTTACTGGGCAGATCACTTTTTTCATGAGCTCGAGAATAAGTTTCCATGGCAGGTGGAGTCATAAATATTCATAATTTGAGAACTGAGGCCATCAGCGCTCATGTAGGGACAAGCTATAAAATAGGAGTATGAGACCCCCACCCCGAGGTGGGCTCAATGGATGATCCTGATGAGATACATGATGGTGTCTCCTAGCGTCAGAGGCTGGGTCCCAGTGCCTGTGATGACAGTCTTTTGCACCCAATAGCACATCCCCAGGTCCCCCACAGGATGAAACCATTAACGTGGCTCCCGACCTATCGTGCCATCTTTATAAAGCTTAGCCTCAGAAGGAAACATCTTTCTATAGAAAAACAGCTTTTAACCCAAAGGTTTTGCTAGAGGCTCATGGATTCAGCAGTTATTTTTTATTTAAATGTTTAAGAGATTATAATAAGTTTTGGCCATAACAGATCTTGTATTAAATTCAGATTTAGTTTTAAACAGGTTTATTTTTAAAAATAAAAACTTATAATTTAAACAACACAATCAAAAAAATTCCATGCAAGTCACAGAACTGATCAATGTTTCTCCCCACGGTGCAGCATGAGCTTGTGGTTCTCCGTCCAGCCCACACAGCAAGCACAAACTACCCCATGTTGGCAGCCACAGCACAGAGGCAAAAG